ACAAAAACGAGCAGAACTTGTAATAATTTAAAATGAAAAAAAAAAGAAGAGATGATGACAAAAATTCTGTCTAGACGTTTTTGCTTGAGACGGGGAAAATTGCTTTTTTCTTATGCCGTTGTTTACGTACGTATTAAAGTCGTTAAAATCGTGTGCTCGTCGGGCACACGAAAAGTCAAAATTTCCATTTGTGTAAAACACGAAATATTTCCACAGTTTTACGAGCACGAAGAAAAACCAGCAGCAACAACAATGCATTTATTGACGCAATTGATTTGAATAAATTTCGTATTGGTTTTTATTTTGGTTTTTGCTTTGATTAAATATATATATATACATATATAGTATCAATTTTGTAAACACCAATTGGCCATAAAATTGTGTTCATCAAATAAATTTCCTATATACACAGATATGTATTCACATATCTCTATATATAAATATATATATAGAACATTTTCTAATTACAGCAAAAAAAATGTTTAAACATCTCGAATTCCAGCAATTCATCTTCATAAAATCGAATGAAATGTTATAGAAAGAGCAAGCAAGTTGCAGTCGGGCGAAACTAACTGCTTAATACGCGTTCAGGCCTCTAAGATGTTTCAATTTATTACAAAATATATTTTAGATGTGCAACATAACATTTATAGAGAAAATTAATAGTTGTCCAGCTGTAAGTCTTAGAGGAATTCTTAACTCTAAAAATGAACTCATGGAGAATGGGATTTGGGGGTATAAAATCTAGGAATCATTTAACATGCATTGCCAACAAAACGTGCACAAATACAACCACACACACATGCATAGGCACGCGCTCTGCTTACTGCGCAGTTGACGCAGCGGCTGGGCTTCACTAGAAAAACTTAATTGTTGAATAACTTTTCTTCAAGATGGACTTTCCCAAAGAAATTTTCAACGCATAATGATGGCATCCAGATGCCTGTATGTGCTAAAGCAAAAGATTTTAGTATTTTTAATAGTTTTTTTTATGAATTTATTGTGCAGAAGTGTAGGGGTAAGGAGGAGGTATCCAAAATTCAAAATATACAAAATCTGTTTATTCACAAAAGGAACCTACAAAGTCTTTCTGAAGTCTGCAAAATGTATGGTATTCAAGCTATGCTTAAAAACGAAATAAAATTATCGATTTTTATCGATAATAAAGAAATGGAATTAGTTCTCGAAAGAAAAGATAAAGCCGTACTGCATATGATATGCACGAAAATACATTTCAAATTTGAGAGAGATGAAATAGACGGACGGAGATATGGAACCGGCTAGATCAGTTCAGCTCGTCGTCCTGTTCAAGCATGTATATACTTTATGGCATCTGCCACGCCTCCTTCTGCCTGTTACACGCAGTTTCATAAAACCATAATAACCTGACTCCCCCTTTTGAATAGGTTAAGACTACAAAGGGAAGCCAATATGCCCGCTTTACACTGTTTAAAAAAGTATAATTAGTATAACAATGATGATATATGGCGGATAATTAAAACGATTTTCTAGGTATGGGTTAAAATTCTATTGACAAATGGCTTATTTGTCGTTTTCTCTGTGTCGCCCAAAACAAACGCCGATCAAACCATAACAAAATCGCATTTTCAAATAATGCGACTTTCCACAGATAATTATAGACTAGACATATAGGCATCGTGCATATAGATATATATACTGTAGTATATATCTATATATATATGTATATATGACGCCTTCAAATGTCTGAGATATGAGCGATTTGGTTCGTTGGACCGCATATTAATAAAGACATAATTGATGTGTACAATGAGCCCATGAAATTTTGTTGACTATTTTAATATGAGTTTTTTTTTTCAGTTCGCTTACGAGTCAAAAAACAACTTTTTATGCCTCCAAAGTCATTTGAACTTTGTTTAGCTGCAGAATGAGTCATGACTAGCTTCATTTTTTGCTTGTGTTGGGTGTTGGGCTTTTATGATGTTTGTTAACTATTGTTTACTGTTTACTTCTTCAAGGCTGGCAATAATTATATTTCGAATGTAAATCAAAAGCTCCGCTAGACGTTATGTTAATTAGAGTGGAAAATCCGAAAGGAATATGACTATGCATATGTTTATATATATACAGGTTGTATTGATTTCAGTTAACAAACCCAGTTTGTTGCTTTTTTTTTTAATATTTTATGACCTTGACTTATATATGCGCTAAAAAGTTGACAAAAAGCAACTGTCATTGTTAAGTTTCTCAAGTTTTCCATAATTTCTAAATTTTATGTATTTTTGTTTTAGGAACGATTTATAGTTTATATATTTATTTTATTTTTTAATTATTTTTTAATTATTTTTTTATTTATATTTTTTTATTTTTTCATTTCTTTTTACTATTTTAATATTTATTTCGATTTCCCCTTGTAAATAAAAATAAAATTAATGAACAGAATTTTTGTATTTTCAAAATTTTCAATGAATCCGAATTTTTACAACTTTTATTTGGTATTCTCGTATTTTCGTTCAAGCTTAAATGATTTGACTAATACTCTCACGTAATACCTTTCGCATACAGAAAGGAAATGTAACTTTTATATGTGGAATAAAATTAAAATTTCTCTTTGAATTCAGCTCATTTTCAACTGAGAAAAACAAACGTAAAAATGTATTATTCGATAAAATATGTCAGAATTGTGAAATGCAAATGGCAACACAAAAATCTATGCGCTGACATCTGTTGCAATTGAAATTGTATTATTTGCTACTTTTTTTTTGCATCTATTGATCCAACAAATGGCACTTGTAAACACACTCACACAATCGAATGTATTAGAGTGCCATTGGTGCATTCATCTTGGAAACATTCTGTGGAGCACTCGAAGCCAGTGACAGCAATAATCAAATCTACATATGTAAATTGAATGGAACCCTCATCAGACGTTTTCAGTTTTTTCTGCTTTTGACCAAGTGGAAAGCAGTCGATAGGAAATATTTGTATCTCTTTGCATGCCCGTATATTCTGTGACAGTGCTCAATATTCGCTGTAGTAAATTGAATCTTGGGTCATAAAAAAATAAAGGCGTCAAACGTTATGCTTTGTGCAAATCAAATTTGTAATGCCCCCAATTGGCATGCCCATGCACACGCCGTTGGCCCATTGTCACAATGCTGCCCATCTGTTTTTCGTTGTTGTTGCCGTGCACATGGTGGCAAAGCTGTGAGAGAGAGAAAAGCTCACGAGTGTGGCATGCATTGCAAACACAATCAGCTGAGCGTTGAAAGCTTTCAACTTGCTGCGCAGTTTCGTCTAAGCGTCAATGCAAACAAACATATGTTTGTGTTTTCGTGCGTGTGTGAAAGTATGTGCGACTGTGCGTTTGCATGCTGGTCACGACGTCAACAAAGCACAGCTGTGTGTGTACGCTATAAGCTTTATACATTTGCGCGCTCACGACGCGTGCTCGCTCTCTCCCTCTCTCTTTTTCTCTGAAACGCTAACTCGCTCTCGCGCTCTCTCACTGTTCCAATTCGCCTTCCCCACCCCCACTCGCTGACAAAACTCGCTCGCTTATTGCGCACCTTTCAAGCTGTCAACAAAGTGAGCCCCATTGAGTTGTTACGACAACAGCGGTGCATTGTACAAATGTAACATCATATTAGAGCCAAGGCTATGGAAATTTAAAAATACTTGCACATTTACAATCATCCCCTAGATTACAGTTAAATGCTGCCAATCATAATAAAAATTTGCTATGCGAGTTACTTTTTATCTTTATCTTTACTCTACGGGGTAGTTTGTTATAGCGCGTTTTCACTGTGCCATGACCGTTGACTTTATAACTGGTTTTCCAGACGAAATCGAAACGGGAGCGAATTCACCATACATCAGGGCGCCCAATTCTAAGATATTTCTGTTTTGTTAGGGCCGCTGCCAAGTGCACAACGCACAAGGTCATTGTAAATGTGTTTTTACAAAAAAACCAAAACGAACCATTTCTATAATTCTATATATTCTATTTTTTGCTTGCCCCAGAAAATTATAAAATCGAAAGCACCGCAACAATATTTGTATTTGCTTTAGCTAAAAACAATTTCGTAATTTAGCATATGTATATTTATTTACGTCGCAAGGTCGTCGTCATCAGGCATTTACATCCAACAGGGGCCCGTTTATGGGCCCCAGATTGGGCGCCAGTCACACAGTTTAAACAATATTAAAACAGAAACAAAGCAACCTACGCGATATGCGTACTGAAATATATTCTAATTTACTCTATTTGGTGGCATCAAAATTGTTGTGATAAGTTCTTATCTGATTGGAGCTGTAGGGGCGGCAGCGCTGTTAGCAAAAGTAGGAAGTTTTATATCAGATGAGAACTTATTGCATCGTCAAATTTCGGCAACGTGTGGCAGAAAAAAAACATAATAATTCAGAAGCGCCCAAAGCGTGACTTGAGCGAAAAGCTTCCTGCAAATCCGCCCCTGTGCGCATGACTGCGACCTACACACAAAAAAAAAAAATAAACGCCAACAACAACAGCAACAGCAGCAGTAGCAGCAGAAAAGCACACGACGAGCAGAGCAGCGACTGGCAAAACGGGCCAGAATACAGACAACACGGAGGCGAGTTCGTTCTTGTGTTGTGGTTTAGTTGAGCGTTTGGTGGCGTTGCGAACGGACGGAGAGACACCATCAGAAATATCAGCAACAATTAGAAAAGCTAAACAACAATAACGAAATAAAGTAACGAAAACAGAGAGCTGGCTTTTTGTCGTAGTAAAGCGCCATTGACTGGAATATTTGAACACTGAGATAGAAACTCAGTTGGAAAGAGATAGAAAAAGAGACGTAGCGGGGCAGCAGGTAGTCTGGCAAGTGGCCCCTGCTTAACACTCAACACACACACGCATTGAAAAACACGCACATAAAAACAATTTGTTGTGGTTTTCTTTGTTTCGACAACAACAAATTTTGTTAAATTAGTGCGCAATTACAACAACAGAAACGAAGGCAAAAACAAACGTGCGCAGCAAATTGTTTAAATCGACATTTGCAATAAAAAAAACACTGCGCAAAAAAAAAACAAAATAAAGCACAAAACGTTGCATTACGAAATCAACAATATATAACAACGAAATTCAATGTAAACCGAAACTTAAGTTCTCCAAAAATCAATAAGCAGCAAAACAGCAAGCAGCAAAGGAGCAGAGACAGAGGCTGCGACAACGCAGCGACAGCAGCAGGAAGAACAAGCACAGCGCAACTGGCTGAACAAGAACCGTAAAAGCTTTACCACTTAAGGCGAAGCTTCAAAGTGCAGTTAAACGCAGCCAGCACGCAACAGCAACGCAAGGCAGAACGAAAACAAAAACAAAAGCAAAACAAAAAGTGAAAAGTTAAATTTACATAATTCATTGGCCACTGCGACAGCACTTAAGAGAGTGAGAGCAAGGGAGAGAGAGAGACAAAGAGACAAAGAGAGCGTGCAAGATGCCCTCATTGTTGGAGGCGCTTGAGCGCAAGTATTTCGCCGAATGCGAATTCGAGAACGCCAATCAGCCAGAGCTGCACAAGCGCTCCGATCTGCCCAATGATTTTACAGTTACCAAATGTGGCGGCCGCATGGAGTTCTCCATATTCATACCCCGCCTCTCGCCACTGACCAGCGTGCCCGCTCTACTGGTGCTCAACGACTGCGACATCGACTGCGCCGGCGATTTCGATAGCATACGGGAAAAATGTCAGCGTGTGCGGGAGCTGGACCTGGCGCAGAACAAGCTGCAGGACTGGCACGAGGTGTTCAACATACTGAAGCATATGCCGCGCATTGAGTTTCTCAATTTGAGCAAGAATCAGCTAATGAATGTGCCCAGTGCGCTGCAGGCGGCGCCAACGATCAATCTCAAGAATCTGGTGCTCAATGGCACCTACCTGGACTGGATGTGCGTGGATGCGCTGCTGCAGAACTTGCCGGTGTTGCAGGAGTTGCATCTGAGCTTGAACAACTACACAAGCGTGCTGCTAGATGCAGCCGAACCGGGCAGCTGCCAGTGTGTGCCACAGACAGAAAACGAAACAGAAACTAAAACGGAAACGGAAACGGAACCGGAAACAGAAACCGAGTCATGTTGCAACCTGTGCCAAGGTCGTCGCAAGCTAACACAAGCACATGCCGCGCTGAAGACTCTTCACTTTACCGGCAATCCCATCGAGCATTGGCAAGAGATCTGTCGTCTCGGACGACTGTTTCCCAGCTTGGAGGCATTGGTACTCGCCGAATGCCCCATCAAATCGCTGCAGGCAGCAAACGCAGCTGAATTGGATTCGGCCACTGCCAGCGAGAGCCACAAATACTTTCCCTGCCTCAAGCTACTCAATCTCAGCTGTGCTCAGCTCAACAGCTGGGCGGACATCGATGAGCTGGCCAAATACGAGCAGCTCCAGAATCTGCGCGTCAAGCATTGGCCCCTGTGGGAGACTCTGGAGTGCACAGAGCACGAACGTCGCCAGCTGCTCATTGCCCGACTGCCAAATGTTTCCATGTTGAATGGCGGCGGCAAGATCAGCGTGGACGAGCGCGTGGATGCGGAGCGGGCCTTTGTGCGTCACTACATGGACAAGCCGGAAGCGGAGCGTCCGGCACGCTATGCCGAGCTACTCGCGGTGCACGGCCAATTGGATCCCTTAGTCAATGTCAATCTGAAGCCCGAGAAGCGTGTCAAAGTCAACTTCACGTACAACGATGTCAGCGAAAGTCGCTTTGTGGACATCTATTTGACGGTGAACGATCTGAAGATCAAACTGGAGAAGCTCATCAGTCTGGCGCCCAATAAGATGCGTCTCTACTATCTCGATCAGGACTACAAGGAGTTGGGCCCGGAGGAGATGCGCTATCCCAATAAACAGCTCTACAGCTACAACATACAATCGGGCGATGAGATCATCATAGATGCCAAGAAGTAAATCCGGAAAGCGGATCGCATATTGGCATGAAGATTCCTGGATACGTTGCCAACGGGCGGTGCTAAGAGCAACAATTTGTGATCTTGTATCAAGCTTCTACAGACGGATACAAAAACCCAACCAGCATACATAAATACATATATCTATCTATATATATACATACACACACCTACACACACACATAAATATATATCTGTGTATATGTAAAGCTTAAAATTATCTCGTACATATATTATACATATTTTTACAACTATTTACCGCCTTCCAACAAAATCAATTTAATGTACATACATTTCAATGGCCAAAACAAACACACACACACACACACACGCACGCACACTTGTCCATATATAAAGATATATTTTAATTAACATCCTAACCTAAGCCAGCTACAGACTAAAAGCAGCCTAAGTAAAACAAAAGCATTATATTAAAATTTAAAACAATTTTTGCTGAAATATGTCTGTTTTTTTTTCTTATTATTATCGCTAGTTTTTGAGTTGGACAGATAAGATACAGTTCGAAGTATACTAGCACTATGTGTATATATGTGTACGTTCTATTGTCTATGTCACGAACACTCGCTGGAACAAACAGTGAAAATTATAAATCAGGCTGCAGCACACAGAACTCTGCATGCCCTTTAGTAGCTAACGCTTCCAAGAGAGTTTCTATGAAAGCTTTATGTGATAAGCTTTTATTGCAGAAATAGCTTTTGCGTAAAAGCACTTGCTACTTTAAGAAATCATAGCAAATACAAATATTATTATAATAAAAACCTTCAGGGAAGTTAAAACAAAATATTTTGAAGAGGGCTAAAAAGGGCGAGAGAGAGAGAGAAAGCTAATATTATTTTCAATTTATTCTATAGAGCTTAGTTTTCAAAGAGCTTTGTATATTCTAGCATTAAAAAAGTTTTCTTAAGAAATAAGATATTTCAAAACTTTGTTTAGACAAGAACTTCAGTTATTGACCTCTAGTTTGTATAACAGATACACGAGACCTAACTGCATTCATATATAAACATATATGTCTATATATATATGTGAAATTTGGTGTAATAGAGCTCTTAGCTATGTCAAAACAAGTATCTCTTATGTCTTTGGCCTAAGAATTGAGCCACTCACTTGCATGAATAGGCTTAGAAAAAAAATATCTACAAAATTTCTAAAAATCTGAAAATTTCATATATATATAGCAGCTTTTTCAATGCTAAAATGTATCTAAAAAAATGTGTCTAGATACATTTGAGAATTGTTAAAGCTGCTATATATATATATAAAAATTTTTAAAATTTTAAAAATTTTTTAGATATTTATGTTTGTTCTTAGAGTCTTATAAAATGTATTCTAAAATTCTTATAGATTTATTTTAATATTTTTTTTATATTCACGTTAAAATCGAAAATTCTTGAAACTATTCCAGTCAAAGTCTCGTCCTAGTGTTACATTTTTGATGATAAAATCTGTATGCCCCTCCCAAGTGTCTGAAACAACTTCGTGACTCTGTGCGCATCAGATCTAAAAGCTTTCAATTATGGCTAGCACCAACTCGAACTGTTGATGTATTGCCAATATGTAAGCCGAAGCTTCCGTCATGCTATATATACTATATACACTACACATAATATATATCTATTATAGTGTATTATTAGTTTATAATAGAAGTGCGAACTGTTTAAAGTTGAAACTTGTTTTGCGTATCCCACACACAATTAGCATCGCAATATGAATCAGAATTTATGGCCGGGGCTATTGGTGCATAGTTTGTTTTAATTGGCACTTTTTTAACTGAACAAATAGAACATGTGATTTTGTTTGCGCACGATATGAATTTATGATCTTATAGACTACGATCTTAAAAGAAAGACTGCAAAAATTTGGCACACAGATTCGAAGTTTTATGCGAATGCAAATTAAAATTGTTTTAATGGATTGATTTATATGGCTATGAGCCACAAAAGTTCTTGTAGTTTTAGGAATGCAGTGCCGCAAAAGCTTATGGAAACGAGACTAAACTTTGATGCGCTATCAAAGCTAAATTTTTCATTACATTTTAGATATTTGATTCAGTTTAAGTTTTTAAGATTTTCTAAAGAATGTGAAACAGAAACAAAAAGTTTTTAATATAATTATATATATTATATTATAATTTTAATGATATATAAATATATATATTATATTGTATTTTAAATGACTATATATTTTTTAAAAAATATAAATTCCAATATTTAATAATTAAATATGAAAATTTTATTTTAAAAATAAATTACCAAAAGTATAAAAAAAAGTTACTTAAATATTATTTAAAAAAAGAAGAGCTTTCATACCTATATATGTTTTTTTATGAAATATTTTAAAATATTGCTTAAACAAATTAAAATATTTCTCAAAAATAATTTGTAAATTTATTCACAACAAAATATTTTAGGTTTTCTCGCCATCATTTTAAATGTTTCTCTAAGTAACATCTGAAATGTTTCTTTGTTGTTACAGCTTTGTAACTTAGCTCACATACACAACACACAAATAGAATTGCTTAGCACGCTAAAAGCTCTGCGTGCATGCTAAATGAATTGCATAAAGCTTTTTGCACTAATACAAATGCGCATACCTAAGCATACACACACAGCATAGCATATAGACAGATTTTAGCCGTATGTCAATAAGAATAAAAACAAAGCAAAATAAAATGTTTTATTTAATGTTTGGTATTTTTAAGAATTCTAGGAATTTTGAAGATACAACTAAGGAAAATGTATTGAGAGTATTTCACTTGATGATGATAGAAATTTGTTTTTAATTCCAATAAACAAATAAAAATGCCCATAAAAGTTGTAAGGCTTTTGTTCCCATGAAACAACACACATTTTTGGCTAATAAAAATAGCCACAGCATATGAAAAGGTATTCAATAAGAAATATGTTTTAATCAATCAAAGTTTATGGCCTTTGCCAAAAACATTCTGCCGTAGGAATTTTTCACAAATATCCCAACGTTTGGCAATGAGCATAGATGCCTGACCTGCCCGTGGGCTGCAACCCACATGCAACAGCAGCTAGTGGAACGAGTTTTACAAAAACTGGGTCAATGCGGCAGAGTGTACGCCTAAGGCTTCAAGCTAGCCTTAGAATATATGCATTTATTAGCTAGTATAAAATATGAATATCTGTCTGTCTATCGATGGGGCACATAGATGTAATTGTAATGGGCAATCAAAATTTTTCCAGTCATAAATGCGAACACACGCACACCCCCAATCAAAGCAGCCCACCTATATTTGCATTAACAATCTGCCAAAAAAAAGCAGAAATTAAAGAGAAAAGAGGCGGCAACATTTATGGCTAATGACGTATATCAAGCATACGACACGTTGCAGACGAAATATCGAAAAACCTCTAGAGATCGTGACTAAACGAAGGAGCTGCCTCAACGCCCACATGACGACGACAAGCTTCAAAACAAAATAAAATGTGCGAAGTTGAGGTATTGGCAAAAACAAAAAGAAAAAAGTCACAGGTGCAACAAAATAAAATAAAATACGTAATAAAATCAAATCAAATAGACGACCATAAAAATGCAAGGTGTGTAGAAAAACAGTTTATGTAGATAATTAATAAAATTTACACATGGAGGTTTTTGGAAAGTCTATAGCCAGGGAAGGTTTTAAACGCTCGTAGCGCTCGACAGACGATCGAGTTGTGATTTGTACGGCAAACGCGACACACGTCCGTACACCCAATTTTCGAGCTCTATTATCAGTTATATATATATATATGTATATATGGCGAGATATATATAACGGTGTTACATATTAGTGAAGTGTTGTTTAAGTGCGTGTGTTTAAAGGGGAGAGAAATGCACTTAAGATGGATCCAGAGAACGATATTTACGCTTTCTATGATATAAGAGGTTTCAAGCGGTGCGATAAGCAACTCAACTCAACTCAACTTAGCTCAACTGAACTCAATTGCTCTATAAACTAACTCAATATTAAATGTGTTTATTGCTTTTTTCTTGGTTTTTTTGTAGGAAATGTAGACCGGCGGGACCAAATAAATCGCAAAAATTTCTGCAACCGCGAATGTCACTCCTAGGGAAGCCGCTGAACTATAATCGCGGCACACATCGCCGCGATGCGCGCTACCGGCGGATGCAAAGTCGCCTCTACAATTTTCTGGAGAGACCGCGCGGCCTGCATGCCATATTCTATCATGTGATGGTGTAAGTAGACAAACGAATCATTTACCAAGCGAATCAAACCAATGAAAACAATGTGTTCGATCATGATTTCATACTGATCTAGTTGTATGTAAAAATTAGTTTGATTTTGAGAGTGAAATCTTCGGAGGTTTCTTTGTTCAATTAAAGAATCTTTTGAATTGTAAATTATTTTATATAAAATATTGCTGCAGAGAAATTCATTTTTAAGAACTATATTTTAATTCAAAATTATTTTATAAAATTTAAATTAGTTTTAAAAAAAAATAAATAAATAAATAAATAAATTTTAAGTTAAAATATTTTACTAAATTCCTTACAGAATCTAAAGAGCGATAGCATTTAAATAATATGTTTTATTGAATATATTTATATATATAATATATTTATATAATATATTTTATATTTTATTATATAATATATTTTATAGAATATATTTATAAATATAATATATTTATATAATATATTTTATATTTTATTTTTTAAGCTCATAATTTAGATTTTTTATTAAATTTTTTTAGTATTAACTTAAATAAATAGCTAAAAGTTTTTTAAAAAGCATTATTGTATATCCTTTGATTTATTATAAACATCATCATGACTTTTATTATAAATAATAATACAAGTACCATGCTTAGATAGAGCACTCGACTGGGCTCAACTGCGAAGGTGGAATTGAGCGTAGCCCAAGAAAGAAAAGGTTTACTGAGCGGCAAAGGCAGTTCGACAGAAAATAAACTAGCTCTATAAGACTTCCCTTTTTAAGAATTAGCAAAGATAATTAATCATACTCTATAAAGTTTCGCACACCAAAAATTTTAACTTAATTAATATATATAAATATATAATATAAATATATAATATATATATATATATATATATATATATATATATATATATATATATATATATATATATATATATATATATATATATATGTACTATATATTTATATACTTTTTATATATTTTAAATGCAAAATTTTGTTTTCTAGATTTCTGATGGTGTTCACATGTCTCGCATTGAGCGTGTTTTCCACCATCAAGGAATATGAGGAGGATGCTGTATATATATTATTTCGCATGGAGATCATAGTTGTCATCTGGTTTACCATGGAGTTTGGAGCGCGCCTTTGGTCGTCCGGCTGCCGTTCGCGCTATCAAGGCACGCTGGGACGACTAAAGTTTATAAAGCAACCATTTTGTATTATAGGTGAGTATTAAAGCATATAATTCACTAAATCTGCTATAATGGAAATCTCCTGGCGTTTTAGATATTATCACCATTTTAGCCTCAATTGTAGTATTAGGCATGGGCACCTCTGGCCAGGTGTTTGCGACGAGCGCATTGCGTGGTTTACGATTCTTTCAGATACTACGCATGGTGCGCATGGATCGACGCGGTGGCACCTGGAAGCTGCTCGGTTCGGTTGTCTACGCACACAGACAGGTAGATATCGGATTTAACATGCATGTTAAATGCAGTGCTATTAAATGATGCGTTCTTTGTCTGCCTCGTTTCTAGGAGCTCATCACAACCATGTATATTGGATTTTTAGGTCTTATTTTTGCATCATTCCTAGTTTATATGTGGGAGAAGGACGTCAATGAAAAGTTTAGCAATTTCGCCCAGGCGCTGTGGTGGGGCGTGGTATGTAGCCAAAAGAAAGCAGAGAAACGTGTTCTTGAATTATTCAACTTTGACCCAGATAACGTTGTGCACTGTCGGCTATGGCGATATGGTGCCCATCACCTGGCAGGGCAAATTGATTGCCTCATGCTGTGCCCTGTTGGGCATATCGTTCTTTGCGCTACCTGCGGTAAGTCTATCGTTAATTCATGCATCCGGACACCTCGCCACCGGACACCGGACACCGAATATCGTATAGCAAATAACCGTACATCATCATCATCATCATCTTTGTTCACACATCCATGCCACCATTTAATTCACTTATTGCAGGGCATTTTGGGTAGCGGCTTTGCGTTGAAGGTGCAGCAGCAGCAGCGCCAGAAGCACATGATACGGCGTCGCCAGCCGGCGGCGACGCTCATTCAGGCCGTTTGGCGCTGCTATGCGGCCGATGAGCATTCCGTATCCGTGGCCACCTGGAAGATACATCAGGTGGCGCTGCCAAGTCCGCCCGCATCGTAAGTACACACTACCCCCCACCCCACAAACGACACTTATAGTCTCTGCCTTGGGCATTGCCACTGCATTGCCACACTTAGCATACAACAATTACTCTGGGATTTACAGCCAAAAATCAATATGCAAGTGTAAACTAGATACTACCTGATACCTGCAACACCTGCTAATTGCAACAATTGCAAGTATGCATTATGGCTACATGAAATAACTCTTGAAATGGAGACAAAAAAATTTATACTTAAAATTTTTGACAGATTAACTTAAGTTTGAAATATAAATTATTTTATTTAAATTATTTAATATATTTATAAATACATTTCAATATTTCTTTAATATATTATATTTATTATAAGCAATTTATATAAAGTTAAATATAATTTTAAATTAATTGTATTATTAATAGGATTAATTTAAATTGTTTCTTTATTTTTAATTTAATTTAATTCTTCAAATATCTTTAAAATATTTATTTATTTTGTTTTAATATACATTTAAAATTTGATAAATAATTTTAATTTAAAAATTAATTTAGTATTTAATTTAAAAAATAATTTAATTAAACATTTTTTTGGTTAATTTTTTTTTAAATTTTGAATTAATAAAATAATTATTGTTTTCTAAAAAAATTAAATTTTAAACCTTAAGAATGGCTTTTTATGAAGTATAATTTATAGTTAAACATAAAGAGTTCATTGTTATACTTTATTAATATTTAAAAATATATTTTATGGGTTTTCTATGATTAAGTTCCTCCATCAAGAGTTATTTCATGAGATCTAATTGTACAAATTCACAACAAAACACACCACACTCTACACCATTTACACACACACACACAAACACAACAAGCCCACCGAGTTGTATTTAAAAAGTGTGACAGAGACGTTGTGCGTACTGCAGTAAATATATAATTGATGAGAATCGCAGCGAAAGGCGTTGCAGTAAACGAAACTTTTAGTCCATACAATTTAGACAACACCCAAGGCCCAAAGCATGTGTGTAGTGTGTACATACTACCAAGAGCATAACCAAATGTCTATATGATACACCCACAACACTATCCACATAATCCACAAGAACAAACCGAAACAAAAAAAAAAAACCAAGAATAATTCCTCTTCGTCTATCGATTAACAATTTCAGTTTCAGCGTACTTAATTTTTCGACATCTTTTACGTACCTCTATCATTTTCTTTCATAATAATTTTTATATATATATAAACTTTTCAGTTCTGAAAACTGGGAGCGATTATTAAAAAACATAACCGAATATAGGTAAAAGTGATAAAAAGATAAAAAAAAAAAACAAAGACAAAAATACTCACAACAAGTTCAAAAAGCAAAATGTTTTCAATGCAAATGCTATTCATGTTTTGTTTTATATTTTTCATAGGGTACTTTGCTTATCAAGCACCAAGCCATACAACATCAAATGCATCAAGTTGCTCCTAAGTATTCATTAATAAAAAAAAAAAAACCAAAATCAAATAAGATAAGCCCAACACACATCAGTCGAGTTTTTTTCTTTGTAATTCGCAGCTTCTCTATAACGCACCCTATCCGACTAACTCTGTCCCCACGTATCTCTCTAACTCTATTCAAAATTCATGCTCTCTATCGTATCTATATTTAGATAACAATTGACAAGCGTTAACAAACTAATAAAACAAACAAAAATTTATTGTAAAACAATAATCTCTGCTAAATTCTGTTCTGCAATTTGTTTAACTCATGTTTCCATCGATGATATAAGTAAATTAATCAATCTGATACAAATTGATTCTCATTGTGCTGCTGCTGTGTGATCCAAAACAAAAACGAAATTAAAACTAAAATAAAAACAATTAATTATAAAAATACACACACACACATACATACATAAATGCATACAATGTGTACTATAATTAACATGTGAGTTCAATTAAGAAATTTAAATGTTTTATTTATTCCCATTTTTTCCTTATCTTCTCTCTCTCTCTCTCTGGTTTATTTACAATTAAATTCACAAGATATATGCACACACTCACACACACACACACGTATAATACTATAGCTATAAGGCAATTGCACATTTTGTATCTATGTAACTTTTAGCGTATTGAAATCCTCTTTATTGTCACAATGACACCAGCTTAAAGTTTGATCTGAAATAAATTGCTTAAAGCACGGAAAAGCTTTGAGCAGCTTTAAACGTGTTGTAGGATACTGTAAAAGCTACCCTTATACAGTTCCTTGCAAATTTAGTATTTGTTGGATTTAAGTCAGCTAAAAGCTCAATGTTCTTCTTAAGCAGCTTTTTATCAATGAATTATCCAACTAAACTTAAAAACTTCACTAATTAACTAATTAATTCTTTAAACATTAATTTGCCTCTCTATAGCTCTAATATATATTAATAAGAATTTTGCCAAAGCTTTCAGAAACATACAACATAATCTTGCTGAAAATATCCAGCATACAAAATTATATTAACTTAATTTAAATGCTACAAAATATTTATATTTCAATACTGACTTTGTACAAAAGCTGTGCAGAACTTCAGCAATCATAAAATGCACTTTTTTTTAATTTTTTAAAAAATCTCAACAACAGCTTGAAGCTTAACTAACTCACTAAAATTAAAATCAATTTCAATTGAAGAAAAATTACTTTAAACAACTTTTAAGCCTTAGACAAACTGCCTGCTGCTAGACAGTAGTTAAAGCACTTTCTATAAGCATTTCATTTAAGTGAAAGCCAAGTCTCAATTTGGACTAACACCTTAGCTTCTTTCAGCCAATTTTAGATGCTGTGTAAAGCTTTGTCAAAAGCTCAACGTAGACTTTCAGCTGCTGTCATTGCGCCGCGCTCGCCACCTGTACTTGTCACAACTTCAGGCTAGCACCTTTAGCACACACACTTACAACGCAATACACACTCACACACACACACATATATACCTATTGCAACTATCTTCTAGCTCTATGTACTACGCTGAACTTTATCCCGTCAATATCTATCTCTCTACTCGTTGCCCCGCTTATTGCTTGCATCAATATTTATTTATATTTCGTTTTCCACAGACGGGCCTCATCCAGCTTTAAGCACAATACATCCTTTGTCGCCCGCTTGCCGACAATAAGGCGTCACAAGAGCCAGACCATACAGGCACCCGGTCCGGATGGCTCCACGCTGTCCAAGCCGCCCGGCTCGTCCCGTGCCTCGACCAGGTATACGCGCACCATACGTGATATTAACGCATCTGTGGAGAATCTCGGTAAGTTGCGGCCGCAAAGCGTTTTGTTTTTTTTTTTTGCCAAATCATTTTTTTCGTTTTGCATTCACTGACGATGGCTGAGTTCGTGTTTGAAGATTTTGCCGTCAACAGTTGTTATGAAATAATTCCAATACAGTGAAACCCATTACAATTTCTGTTTGCACACATTCAAAAAACAAACACACACACACACCCACGCACAACCAACGAAGAACAAAATATAAACAAACAATAACAAGTTATCGTTTCTTATTTGTCTTGGCCCCAAAATGCATGTTCTACTCGTACCCCCAAACTGTGCAAAAACCCCATACTCTATATCAACTTATATCTCTCTATATACACCCACACACACACACACACACACACACCAGATTCAGTACATTTGCCTTTTGCTATTCTGCGCTGCTCATTGCACCAGTAAAAACAATTTACACAAATGATTATCAAATATTTACTATCCACTGCAGGCAATTGCATTTCCATCAGCTTTGCGCTATCAACAATTTTTGCATTTCAATTTAATTAACTGGGAAACTGGGAACATGTTTGCCTCTTTAATGCTTTACACTACAAATATTTAGCGTAATTTCTCTTTCGTGGAAAACTATTTTTACTTTTACCTTTTTCGCATATATATAAACATATATATTTTCTGGCTTAATTAATTTATAGTCTTCAGGCTGAAGTGAGAATGCTTTAATATAAATATAGAAATTTACAGCACTTTCAAGCCTTGAAGCGCATTTTGTGCACGTTGCAAGCACTTAATTCATGTTTTTAATAATGCAAAGCTAATTTTAAAGAATATACTAAACAAAAATTTAAAAAAAAAATATAATATAATATAAAAAAATATAATAAATGTGGTAATTTGTGTAGAGGAAAAGATAAATGTTTTTATCAATTCTTTGGAGAAAGCATAGAAAATAAAAAATAAGTATTGGCTTTTTCATTTATTTAAAAATATGAAATTTAAAAATAGGGGAAAAAAACTAGTCATAAATTCTAAAAATAAAAGAAAATTAACTATGCAAGAATATATTAAAAAACACATTAAAAATCTATTATAAAACAATTTTAAACTCATTTTGAATTATTCTTAAATAAATTTAAAAAAATAAAATAATTGTTAAATATTTATAATAAGAAGTATATGAGTTTTATAATTTAATTTTACAAAAATCTATTTGTACATTTTTTTTTAATATTAAATTTAATTCAAATAGCAAGAGCAAACATATTTTATAACTTTTTGAAATTAGCACAGTTTTCATATATTAACTCTCTTAGCTCTTGCTACCTGCATTTACATAGCATTATAGTTTATATAAATAACTAAATGCTTATAGAGCGCACATCATTTAAGCGCAACCAATTGGAAACCAATAAATTTCACTTAATGAAAATAAATGAGAATGAATCAACTTTTCATAGATAGGAAAATGACAATTGCCATAGGAAAGCAATTGGCGCCCCATAGTTTTATTGAAAGATTGAAAGCGACTGCAGATGAGGAATTAGGAAGTAAAAGCAAGGCAAAGCAGCAAACATTAGTTGCTTAATTAATAATGATTAATGAAATAATTAATAAAAATAAGAACAGAATTGATCTGATATGAAAATGAGCTGAGAGCTTGAAGATGGCACAGGATCAATAGAACATAAATAATCTATTCTGTTTCTATTATCTAACTTAGGCATAGCAATTAACAATTTATTCTCATGTCAACCCCACCAACTGCTTGCTACACTCATCTATGACACTACTAAATACCCTGCACATACAACACCATTTCTGAATACAAATTGTAGTTATATATTTTCTCTTAGTGTATTTTTGCTGAATGTTTTTACACTACGCACCCGCCCAAAGAAAGAAAAACAAATAACAAAATATAAATAACAATAATAATAATCGTAAAAAAATATAAAATATTATAAATATTTTTTTTTAAGAATGTTAAAAGTTGAAACGTGAAAAATGAAATTTCTTTGTAAGTTTTTTTGGTGTGTGTTGATTTGAAAACCCTTTTTTGTAACCCTAATGTGCGACCCATATAGACTACCGTGTCTCTGCATTGATTGATTGATTGATTGAAACATTAATTTGACTTGATTGGCACAAAAAAAAAAAAAACAAAAATTATTAAAAAAAAAAACAACATAAAACTAAAAAACAAAAAAAAACAACTTTAACATCTGGTTTGACATTTTCAGAGGTAGTACAAAATGGCAAATCCATGAATCCGAGTTTTAGCGAAGATTCAGTTGCTGAAACAACTTGCTTAAAAAATATAAAAAATTCAGACGGTAAGTCTACAAGGTCCTGCCCAGGTTCCAAATACCAAAATACCAAATACACCTTGAGATATATAAAAAAAAAAAAAAAACAAAAAAAATTATATATTTATATATAACCCTATATTGAGTGTTGTGGTTGTGTCAATGTTGTGGTTGCATCTTAAATTGAATTTAAATTTGAGTTTAATGTTCGTTTTGATTGTTTTTTTTTATATACAAAGAAAGAAAAACAAGTTCAATATGAGATTAAGGTCTGGAGGGTGCTGAAACAAGCTGAAACTAATGCGCTTTCTCACACACACACACACTCGCACTCGCACTCACACACACAGCTAAGTCCACGACCACGCCCACGCCCACGCCCACACAGCTGGAGAATTGCATACGCAGCGCCAGCCTGGGCAATCTAGCGTCCAGCGCTGCAGAGCAGCCCAAGGCTGTGGTGGCTAGCTCCAATATGCTAACCATTCCCGTCGTGCTTTACGGCTTCTTGCACGGCGACTTTTTCGGCTCGACATTTTCGCTGCGCAATCCGCGCATTACGCCCACGCAGGATCTGGAGGCGGGCCACATAGCCGCAGAGCCCTCGAAAGCCAGCTTAAATGACAATCCGAACACGAACAATCCCAGCGGCAGTCCAACGGCCAGCACAAGTCGCGGTCGCACGGGTCGTTTCTTTGCGGCTGCATCGCATATTCTGGCGCCGGGCGGCGAGCGGGCACGCGGCGCATTCAATGTGGCAAGTGCGTGTAGAACAATACAAACGACAACCTGCAACTAGCCTAAGTTTCAGCTAGACTCGCAATGCCCTCTCGAAGGAAGTGTATATTATGTGTATATGGCTAGGGCTTGGTTTAGCATGCGCTCTCTCTCTCTCTCTCTCTCGCTCTAGACACTGTCGTAGTGAATTAGTTCAAATGCATTTTGTTAGCCTCTCTGTAGTAGTGCTAAATATGTATCATATATATATATATATATATATATAGGGAGTTATAGCTGTAACTGAACTCCCTTAACACCAACAACTGTTCGCTCACTTTACGCTACATGGCCACAGACACACACAACGCTTGCTTTTCTCAAACGCTTTCTCCTAACCCAAAACCCGATAACAAAAACCAAACAAAAATACAAAAGAATACTATATACCCTATAATAATATTGTGATTTGATATAAACGTAACTAACCTAATATCTGTATACTTATTGTGCGTTCTATATTAACTACTCTATATGCATATCTCTATAACTACATATGTGTGTGTATAACGCTACTTGTATGTGTTAATTGTGTGTTGTTGGATTGACTTGATTAAATGTAAAACAAATACAAAATATATATGAAAACAATAAAATTGCCGCTTAAACATGCGCGCGAAGCAAGCAACCAAAACCTAACGCACAAGTCAATCTCTCTGATTCATAAATTGCCCCCAGATGAGGATGAGGAGCCGCGCTGCACGCAGCTAACAAATCGGCATAAGATCGCCATACGTTTCATACGCAAGGTAACTATAACTCAGCGTATACCCTACAATATACCATATCATATTTTCGACTCAAACCTTTGCAGCTCAAGTATTTTGTGGCGCGGCGCAAGTTTAAGGAGGCCTTGAAGCCATACGATGTCAAGGACGTTATGGAACAGTATGCGGCGGGTTAGCTTTTCTCTTAATAATAATATATCTCATTATATTAATAATATCTCATCCACTGCTTGCAGGTCATGTGGATTTACTGGGTCGCGTCAAAATGCTGCATTTGCGGTGCGTATACGTAATATTTGTAATGAAAACTGAAATTGCTAGCAAAGCTTTTGGTTTTGTGTAAGCTCTTTAATAGCAGTTATAGATTTTAAATAGCTTTCAAGTCATATAAAGCTCTAGAAGTATATATATCTGCCTAATTAGCAGATACACTATAAGAGCTTTCAGCTTAAGAGCAGCTTTCTCTTTACTTTAATTATGAAAAATTCGTTGAAAAGTTATAAATTTATTTAAGCTAACTTTCAGCTGTTTAATGTTGGTCAAAAAGTTGTCAAGTGCTTGAGCTAAACTTTAATATATTAGAAAATATTGTATGTTAATTTATTCCAATTAATTCCAATTTTTTTAAAATGAATATGTCTAAGCTTTTAAGTTAGTTTTTAGTAACTTTCAAGTTAAATGAATATGTCTAAGCTTTTGAGTTAGTTTCAGAAACTTTCAACTTTCTTTATTCACGTTTTATAAAGGATTAAAGCTTAAAAGCAGATTAATTCTCATTAAGTTGCATGAAATGCGTCTAAAACTGATTAAAAAGTCATGTAAGCAAATTGCAAGCTGCTTAAAAAGCTTCTGACTTTTAAGTACTCAAAAAGTATTTGGAATATTAAAAAGATTTTTATGTTAATTTAATAAAAATTATCATGGGCAATTTTCATGCTCTGAAGTGGAAAAAAATTGCGAATAGAAATGAAAAGTTGATTTTCTTAAGCTGTTAAGGGAAAGTTAAGTTAAGAGAAGAGCTGCTTCGATAGGATATCAATTACTTCAGCTCTTAACCTATTATTTAAAAAATATATATTTAAAAAAGTTATCTAAATCCGATTCTGTACCGTAGATCTAGTTTAGACTATTCCAAATACCTATTCCAAATTCCAAAATGAAGCTTTTAGCTTAAATCTACATAAATCCTTAAATTATACAATTTCAAGTGCTATAAATTCCTCATATTCTTCCACCCACAGTCTAGATCAGATACTGGGCAAACAGGGCTCCAAGGCCAAGGATGTCTATGCTTCAAAAATCAGCTTAGCCTCGCGTGTGGTTAAGGTCGAGCGACAGGTAAATAACTGTAAAACTAAACCACCTCTAGCATATATTGTAAGCCAAGCCAAATTTCAGGTCGTGGACATTGAGGAGAAACTCGACATACTGATCAAGGCCTATATGGAGGATCGTGATAGATTCTTAGCGCTTCCGTTGCCAGCCAATCCCAAACCCAAAATACATTCCATTAGCCCTAGTCACAGTCACAGCTTGTCCCATCATGCACACAATCAGAACATGATCGATGTATGGAAGCGAACGGCAACGCTGAGCGTACATCCCGAGCTGGTGACGACGCCAAATGGCGGATCGGATGCCACAGCTCTCGATGGCAGCGAGACGGCGCTCACCTCCACGCAGACGGTGACGACCACGACGGATGCGATTGCCACACAAACACCCATGCCGCATACACAGCATACAGCGACCAATACAAAGGTATTTCATAGCTCTCCATTCGAGTCGCACTCTCCCGATCTATAGACATATAATTCTAGTCTTCCGTGCTTAACTCATATCAGCTACCGCCTGAGAAGCAACAGCACAATGATGTATTTATGACTGATTTAGAGAATAGAACTAAAAAACGCGTTACTTTAAGGTGAGTTGAGCGTCGTGTGGTGCGGCGAGCCGAATTTTAAATACTCTTGCAGATGATATGAGGCTTAGATGGAATAGGTTATATAACATGTGTTCTTATCAATTGAAGAGTTATGTTTAGTAGATTAAAATGTAGCTTATTTATGCAATGAAAGATATAGACTTGAATAATAGATTTACCGTTATACCAGATATAGTATTGAGCCATGCCCCTAGTGGGCATATCTAGACACTTTATAAGGCAACGCTACCAAAGGCGAAAGAGCTTCAAGTTTTGAAGTCTCTAGCTGAGTAGACGAGCATTGCACAAAACCTATATACTCTCTGTCACTTTATGAGCGCGTATCAAGCTAATTTTTGGTACAGTTTCAGACATATATCAGATGAAAAATTGTTAAATTTTGGAATCACTTTCAGGCAGATTATGCCTATGTAGCCTAGTCAACTGAGCATAGTAATGCCATATTTCTAGACTTAATTTTCAACACAAGATTGAAGAAGAGACTTAAAAATGCCACAAAAATATATATTCTATATATAAGCAAAAAACGTAACTACAAACACAACTTTAAGCAGCAAGCCTAAGACGTTTAGCCTATATCAACTGCTAGCTCACAGTCTGCGAGGGCTTTTAAATACCCAACTCTATCAGCCATATATATATATATAATGCTGTTAATATTGCGCAGCCTGCATAGATCCACATCGGAGCCATATAGCAAACACGAGCAGCGCATCAATATGCCGGATGAGGGCGCACAATCTTTGGATTCCAGTGCGAAGCCAACGCCGCCAGACAGTTCAAGTAAGCCAGGCCGTGCCTGAACTACGCGTCACATAAACATCCAAAACAGACTACGCCAAAGAATCATTTCTTCTTCTTCTACCTTTTGATTTTCTTCTTTGTTATGTCATAAATAAAGCACCCTATCATTTGAGCAATTCGAAAGAGCAACTTTTATTTTGACTGCGCCAATTTTTCACTCATCCGATATTATCGCCATCTTCAAATAATTATTGTAAATATTATTTATGTATATATATATATATGTATATATATTTATATATATCTAGTTATACTCATTGATGAGTATGAGGACTTCGAGGAGGAGGATCTAAATTGTGAGGGCGAAATGGAGCACTTCCCATCGTGGGAAATCGACAGCGACATTGGCGCCGATGTCGATGTCGATGCGGATGGTGACTGTGATGAGTCCACTGAGGACACGGCGCTCTTACAGTGCGCCACGCGCACCGCCATTGTTATAACACCCATTAGCCCAGTGAGTACAGTGTGGCAAATTGTATATATAAACTATAAAAGCTAATTGACATTTACCTTTCAGGTAAGCTCAGCACTAAATCTACAAAGTTTAAATGACCAAACTACAACGCTTAATAAATCAAATTTGCTTCCGCCAGATTCTGGCTAGTTAAAAATGCAATTGAAATTAGTCGATATGTAATATCTATATATATATTAATCTATATATATATATATAATAAATGCTTATTGTTAAGATCGTCAGCTGCTCCACGAGGCAGTGACGCTGTACCAACTACTAGAGTATCAAAAAAAAAAACATTTACATTCACACAGAATTGATTTGATTTTATTTATTCAAGAAGAAAAAGTTTTAATGACCAAAACTGCAAAACGCTTTAATAAATCAAATTTGCTGCCGTAAATGTACATACATAATATATATAAAAATATACATAACAAGACTCGCAGATACCCTGTAAAATGACATTTTTAGCCACAACACTACAATTGAAATCAGTTTTTTTTTCGTTAGTTTTTTAGAATTTAATATGAGCTTGAGCTGTGTAGGGTATAGAAAAGCGCTTTCAATAAAAAAAGCTAGCTTACTGCGATAAAAGTGTTCAAAAAATGAAAGATTTGAGAATGGCAAGCAAGAGAGGGTTTATATATAATAAGCTTATATATGATAAAAAATGTATGCCTGGAAAATGATAAAATATGATACGATATAAGTTGGGAAATCAGGCATGTAAATACTAGTGGAAATTATGTAGGGACAAGTAGCGATAGACGGTGAATGAGCAGCGTGCGAATGAGTGTAGTTGACAAGTGATTGAAGAATCGAAGTTACAAAGCTAGTTATCTAATACTATATTGCATACATGTATGTGTGTCCATTTTACTGACATGATTTGTGTTCAAAATTAAGAAACGACAACACAGCAACTTAAATCAATTGAAAAATCAAAAAAGTTTAACAACTGCTTTAGCGAATAATAACAAGAATAAAAAGCAAACAATCAAATAAACTCGCATTGTATTTAATTCCATGCAACACTTATATTTGCCTTTGCATCTTTTTCGGCGGCAACTTCACGTCCTTGACCTCCGGCAGCTCCTCGAACAACTCGGAGCCGTCGAAGCTCACATTGTCCTCGGCCACAGCCGTCGAATCGCCGATAAACTCGATTTGGGTATTCGCATTGATGCGTATGCAGCGTTTTTTCGATGCCGACGGGCCATCGCTGGTCACTTCCTCCTCCTCCCCCTGGTCATTCAGTTCCTCGACCTCCTCAACCTTGGTCGTATCATCTTCCAGGTAAATGCTGCCATTGTGCGCTTTACGCACATGCATATTGAGCTGCGTCGTCGAGCTGAAGGATTTGCTGCATCCGCTATCGAAGAAGTCGCGACACGTATACCTGGAGCCATGGACACGTTGCATATGGTTCGACAGGCCCTGGCGACGTCCGAAACGCTTGTCGCACGCCTTGCACTCGTAGGCGAAGCGCTTGTAATGCTGTCCCAGCACATGCACCGACAGCGACTTCTTGTTCCGTGTGATGAAGCTGCACTGTTCACAGCTATACGATTGGCTGTGCAGCTGCGGATGGGAATAGGCGAGCGTTAATTATGGTAACTTAGCCCCTAAGGCAACTTGATTTTCCTCCTTCACTAATTTCTAACATCTAAAACTTTTTGTTGAAAAGGCTGTGCAGGCAGCCGACTTATATATATACAGATTATAGTTTTATCAAAGCTAAGTTGGTCTTAAATCATTGTTAAGCAAACAATATTGCAGTTTGTTCAGAACCCCCATCAACTAGATCAATCAGTTTCATTTCCTATATACTTAAATATTCTAAGCAACTGACTCACCCGCTGATGCGCCTCCATTTCACTTTTGTGATAGAAACCCTTTTGGCAGACACCGCACGAGTAGCGCTTGTTATTCGAATGCACCACATTCATGTGTGTATCGTAGTTGCGACGATTTTTGACCACTTTTAAGCAAAGACGACATTCCATCGGCTCGTGCCAATAGGCGTGATGTTTAGTCAATGCATCATTATCCTTATAGGAGGCATTGCACTTCGGGCATATAACATTGTCTGCAAATTATTGCAACGCATTAATAAAAGATTAAATTGCAATTCCCAAAAAGAAAACATACTATTGTTATGACTGCGTGCCACATGCACCGATAGCGACATTTTGGATCGACATTGTTTCTGACAGAACTGACAGATCCAGTCGTTCAATTTAGCAAGTGGCTCCTGCTTTTCCATGCCATCGTGCGAACGTCGTTTGTGTGTGTACAGCGAATTCCAGTTAATGTATGCCTCAGTGCAATCCTGCAGCAATACGAAATGTTAAAAATATTACACATAAATTCCAAACTCAAGCCTCACCTCATAATCACACATGTAGTACAGGCATATCTCCAGCTTGCGATGCGCCACATCGGAGCGCTGTTGCTGAAAGTTGCGCAAATGATGGCGATAGAGTTTCATGTCGGCAAATTCCTTGCCGCACGGTTGGCATATGAAGAAGCCATCCTTATGCACGCCCGAATCGCGATGGGCACGTAAATCGCTCTTCTGCTTGAAGTACGCCGAGCAAAATTCACATATATAAGCATTGCGTAACAATTCCGCATAGGTATCCATGCCAAAGCAAGCTGAGTCCTCGGCCTCCACATGAGCCTGACCAAAAAATATAAATTTATAAACTTTTATAATTAGATTTTATAGATGAACTTACCAGCAGCTTGTCGTTACTCTCGCTGAGCAGTCCACAACCGTTGCACACATGCACCTCGCGCTCTATGATCAGATGTGTCTTCATGTGCAGGTTGTAGGTCGCCTCGGTGGCGAACTCGCGACTGCACAACTCGCAGCTGATGACGCTGCCATGCACGGAGCGCTGAAAGAAGATAATATAAATAAGCTTAGTTGGAATTTAAAAAGTTAAGTAATGGGCTTTATATTTAAATATGCTATACTCTATCCAATTCGAATGATTTAACTCTTACACATAATTAGACAGGTCAATAAACTCTTGGCCATATAAACTCTTTAACCCAAGGCTTCTATATAGGAAAGCATTTGACATGAGTCTTTACAAGCATAAAGGCAAATACTGAAATGCTTAATTACAAAGCTAAGCCAAGATATTTAGCTATATAAATACATTGAAAAACTCCTTATAAATTGCTCTACACAAAAGTGCAATATTTCTAGCACCCACCAGATGCCCGTTGAGGCGCCCGCGTGTCTCAAAGTTGGCGCTGCATTCAGAGCAGCTGAAGGTGGTGCTGCTGACGTTCGCATGCGATTTATTGTGATCCATAAAGACGGCAGCATCCCGAAAGTTGCGATCACAGCTGCAAGATTAACGAGAAATATTAACAAGATGTAAAAGTTAAATAAATCCAAGACCTACAGGTCACAGAAGAGTGTGCCTTCTGGCTCGTGCGAATAGTGCAAATGGTGGAAGAGCTCATCGATGTTGTTGTCTGCAAAATTACAAACAAAGCAAGCGCGCGGCCTGTGACGCTCCAAATGAAATTGATTGTGGAAATTAAAGCTGTAAGCGATAAGATATTGATTAGCAAAAGCGAAAAAGTGTGAGCAGCTACTTCAAAACGAACCGCTTCCACGAGGGAAACTCCAAGCCGCACATCTCACAGTATAAACGTATGCCCCTACGTTTCTTAATGACGTGCGCGCAGGAGTGTTTGTTGTATTGTAATATATTGGAGAACGTCATATTGCACTCGGGGCACTTGCCATAAATGGGAATTCTAAAAGAAAGAAAGCATCAGCAGACGTATCTAGTCAAGTATCTTACGTTGAATGCTTACTCTGCCACAGGTGCATGCAACACCACCAAATGCATGGCCAAGAATTTGTGACCCTGCAGCTCCGCCGTACAGCCTTGAATGGGACAATTGTAGCGCTCATCTGCCAACTGATGGCATTTCTGCATATGATTAAGAAGCGTTTCATATTTGCCGCATTTCAATGAACAATGACGACACACGGTGGCCCAATCGAATTGTAAGGTCTCAAAGCAGGTCTTGACCACAGTCGACAGATATTCATATAGATCCCCAATGTTGTCAGCTGTGGATCGAGAATTGGGTAATTAAATAATTTCTATAGATATGAGTTTAGACTGCTCACATTCTTTAATTAAGACAAAATTAAAAGGCTCCACTTTAAATGATTCATCTTCGCTTTGGCTTTCATTTTGCGACTGCGACTGGGATTGAGATTGGGATTGCGAAACATTGCGCTTGAATTTGCGTTCTACTTTGAAATGACGCACTTCCAGGTCGGAGGAGTTATCTGTAAGAAAAAGTAGGTAGTTGGTAGGAATATAGACGTCTCAATGTATACAGTGAACACTCTATTAACAGCCCCAGCTTGCTGATGCTCTAGCCCACGAAAACGCTCACTGCACTTTGTATAAGTCGACTTACCATCTTGCTCTAACAGAAACTCTAGCTCCTCATTGTTATCCTCTTCTTCCAGCGGCTCAGTTTCTTCCGTTTCAAGCTGCCGCTGCTTTTTGCCAGTTTGCTTTTCCAATTGCCGCACAGTGGCAGCGGCCTCGGTAAATTTATCATCTGCTGGCGCCTCATCATCATCTAGTATGTCGCGTATGAGTGCACTGATCTGTTCCTGATCTGCTGAGCCACGACTTTTCACTTTGAATTTGGCATTCGGTTTAACAACTTCCTTTGCTTTAACCGACAAACGCTTGGGCGCTACCGTACGGGCTTTAGTAATGCGTATGGCTGGACAATCGGGTTCGGTTTTTGGTGCAGTTGTAGTAACGACAGAGGTTGCAACTGTTGAAGGCTTCACCAACTTAACAGACATTTGCAAACTTTTCGTTGCAACTGTGACGCTCTTCGCTTTTGGCGACGTTAACCGTGTTTTTTTGGCAGATTTTTCAACCTTTTTGATGGCGATGGGTAGATCCTCCTGCTGTTTGGCAGCATTTTTGAGTGCATTGGCGGCATCCTGCTCACGTTGCAGTTCGTCTATGTCAAAGAAGCGTATAAGTGTATTAACACATTCTTGGCATAGCAATTGCGACTTTTCAGCATCGGGTTTGACAACGATTTGGAAATATTTGGCCAATAGTTGGGCGAGTTCTATTTCGATGCCCACTTCATCGAATATTTCTTGATATTGTTGCTTTGAATTGTACACACTACAATGCAGGCAGCTAAGCCCATTATCGTTGTTTATTTTCGAATTTTCCGACATTTTAACTTTTCACACATAGCAAACATGCGCGACGTAAGAAACGAGCGTCAGCTGAACGATATGAAATGCTAAGTGTTGCAAAACGATTACAGCACTATCGCAACTATCGTAACCCAATTGAGTAAAACATCGTATTTTTAGTGCATTTATTGTGATGCTACAAAAACGTATTAAAAATTACCTTAAAAACTAATGTAGCAAAGAATATTAATAGCATCGATAATCGATAAATTGTGCCGTAGTGGTAAAGAGCGAAGTTTTGCGGCAAATTTAACTGTTGACACGCTTGAGCAAAGCGAAATAGCTGTAAGAGCAATTCACAATCTGAAAAAATAAAATAAATGTATATAATAGGTTATTTAAAAGTTACACAACTCATACAGATGAAAAAGTGGTCGAATTGAAGCACTGTGAATGATTCAAGGTATGCATATGCAGCGGCTCACTAAAACGCAGCATCATTAATAAAGCCAATTTCCGATTACTCTTGTTCCAGCTGGTCCAATCGGAACTGTATAACGAATGGGATAGCAATGCGCTCTGATAGCTCATCTCATCGGCCGAATAGCAAATAATAAAGATTTGCAGCAGCATAACAAATTGATACGATGCCATCATGATCATAAAAGCAGTTTCCTTCGTTCTTATAGAAATGGCATAGAAATTGGAGACGAGCACCAGCACTGAACAGAGCATCTGCACCGAACCGGGCACCTTAATAAAACCATCTATCAGATCCTTTAGCTGAAAGATACGTGCATAGTGTATGCAGCAGTTGCGTAATTCCCGAGCAATACGTTGATTATCCTCGATGGTTTCGGCACTGCCCAAGCTCTCGAGATGAGCGGACAACATGGCCAGCTGTGTCTCCAGAAAGTAGAGCAGCGAAGCGGCAATCGAGTCAAAGGCAATGTTCAGCCAGCAGGTAGGCATCAGCGACATGACCTGATAAAAGTAAAGTCCATAGTAGCAGCCGGAGCTGAGCAAATCGCATGGCTCATACATGGACAGAGGCAGAGCATTGTTATCCACGAACCACTGAGTGACCAGGATCAGGCTGGCGGCCAGCAGCGACGCCGAGGCATAGAAATTACGCCAGATTTTCGCTCGTTTGGCGCCGCCGCTAAATATCAACGCTTCCTTCTTCGAGCTCGGGCGAAAACAAGGCGAATGCATTTCCTCGATGAGCTGGGCATGATTTCGATTCCTTAACTTGATGCTCAGAAGCTTGGACATGCACGATACCTCGGTGGCAAACATGAAGAATACTTGCAAAATCACGTTCAGCTGATCGATGTTGGCCAGCACACGAATCGCAAAGAAGAGCAGCATGATGGCCACAATGCTGAGAATGAGGCAGCAGCGCAGTTGATGCAGCACGCGCTGCAACCGACTGGCGCATGAAGCCACTTGCCACATGCCCAAGAAATTGAAATACCAAACTTGATACTTATAAAAAGTCGACATCATTTCATGATGTTCCGACATCTTTTGCAGACTATTTAGAACTTTCGTCAGAATGCGGGCTGCCGGTCTTATATAAAGGCTCGCCCGGTCGAGGACATTTCGGCTAATGAGCTTTAATGAGCCGCCCATTATATGTCCTACCTTACACTGAGCAAAATGTATAAGTACTGAGACTTACCGAACTGAAGAGCATCAAGTCGAACGAATGACTGCTATTCAATGTTCTGATCCGTATGGGTAAATCCAGACGCTGCATCAGCATCAACAACAGCCGCTGATTCGAGCGATGCGCGCCAACCCAATTGGATTTGTATATATCGTGGGGCAGGCCATAGCTACGCTCCGTAATCTCTCTAAATATATAGTAGCAAATGTGTTATATATATCGTATAATAGCTGTATATATAGATGTTTAACTCACCCCGCAAAGTAGCATATTATAAAGATCTGAGTGAGCATGCAATTCTGATAGATCAGCATCTTAAGCAGCAATAGCTTCTCATCGGTTAACTGTTAACAAAATAGAATTGCAAATTATTTAATTTAAATATAATTCTATACAGAATGCTTGGAATTTTATATTTATTATATATGCTGCTATGAAAGAGAAAAATATAAAAAGATTGTTTTCTTAAAATAATTTTTAAATAATTGAATAAAGTATTTCTTTTTGAGTTAATATTAAGTATAATTATTATTAATATATATATTTAAAATTATATATATATATAAATTCAATCTTTAAAACACTTCTAATAAATTTTACATATTCGAAATCTATCTAAAATCTTAATTGAAGTCTATCTATCTCAATTGAATTAATCTATTTTCTTATTATGCATAAAAATAAATATATTTTGGCAATAAATATTACTTTTCAATTTTTAAGTCAAAAACCTACTTAAAAAATTAAAAATTTATGAAAAAGTATGTTTATATAAATAAATATATTTATATACATATATTATTTGAAAATACATATATTTATATATATATATTATTTATAACATAAAAACAATATAGAATTAATGATAACATTTTTTTGAATTTATAAAATGTTGAACTTAAAAATATAAGAAAGCATAAATTAACTCAACAAATTTAAAATAAATAAAAAGCTTTAATAAAAATTAAAAAAGGAACAAAATATAAATTTCCAAGCAAAAATTAATAGTAATAATATTTTATTATTATCCTAAATAATATTTTATTATTCTGTTAATTCAACTTCTTCCACTCACCTGCGACATGGAATAAAAATTCGCAGTTAAAACGAGCACAGAACAGAATATCTGACCCGATATGGGCTTATAGACAATGGCCTCGATGTGAGAAGAGAGTTTGATGATTTTCATGTAATAATGGATGCAATGCCTTAGCTGCAGCAACATTTCGGCATCTGTGGCCTTCTCCGATTCACAATTGCTTCCAATGGCTTGCAGACGCAGGGCCAGAATATCCAATTGGCATCGGATAAAAATGAATATGGAACAGCACAGAGAATCGAAGGCGATGTTCATAAAACAGGAGGAGGACAGAGCGCAGCAGTGATAAATGTACATAAAGCCGAAGCCGAACGAGCCACGCTGCCCGTGAAAGGGATCGTAGGTGGTCAAAGGCAGTTGGGTATTATCGATCGCATACTGAGTGAGGAGCATGGTGATCAGCGAACAGAGCGAGACGGCGCCATAGGAATTGCGTACGGTGCGGCTTAGTTCACGGGCGTCCAGAAAGATGCCCTGCTCCTCGAGGCTCGTTGGCTGAAACTCTGCATCATGCAGATCAGCAAAGAGTTGCAGTAGTGCAAGATTATTCAGCTTCAGCGACAATATCTACAATTTATGACAACGTATTAGGCGTATGATATCTATGGGCATATAACGTAGAGTGCGCTACCTTCAGTGAGCCGGCAATGCAAGTGGCTAGCAGAAAGAAGCCTTTGATCACCTCATTCATATCGTCAATGTGGATAACAATATATATCAGCAGCAAAAGATTGAGCATCATTATACAAAAGCCAAAAATCAATATAAAATTAGCTACATGCAGCAAGCGCTTCCAGCGCAACCGCTGCGGAAATATCGAATATATTTCCATTACACGCTTCTGAACCGTGTAGAACAGACCAATATAACTATCGAAATTTAGCTGCATTTCGCGGAGCACTTATTCAACAACTACTGCAGCACTCGAGATGGCCAAAGCCTTATAAAGACCTGTGATAAACAATTAAAAACGCATTAACTAATTGGCGTAAAGCCTAAACACTTCAATGTCATTAGCAATTATAGTAAAAAATTTAATATAAATATAAACAACTAAAAATCATGACAAAAAAATAAAAATAAAAAAAGATAAGAAATTAAAATTGAAATAAAAATAAAATAAATAATAACAATTATATTTTTATATGAGGCATAAATATTTTTACATTTAAAAAATGTATGGTGGAAAATTATAATTTTTTTGTATAATTTAAATATTATTAAATATATTTTGTAGATGTTTTTCATATATATTATTTTTTTCAATTTCCACTTTTTATAAAAATTTAAATTTTAAGAAATAATTAAAATAAAAATAATAAAAGAAATAAAGTATAAATTATAATAAATAAAAATATAGCTATTTAAACAAATTATATTAAATAAAAATTAACTTATTTTCATATTTTTCATAAGACACATATATTTATTTAATTTATTTGATCTATTTTAAACATTTTTCATTATATTTGTATTATTCAGCTTGCAGTTTTTTTTTTTTAATTTATTTAATATATTTTATATGTTGTCCTGAGTAATTCTTGGTCTTTATAACATATTAACAATATATGTGGTCTACTTTTTGGCGCAGTGCACGCTTGCTAATCGTTTACTGTTGTCTAATAAGCGCAGGACCGTTAAGTAAATATACTAAATTATTCAAAGGCGCATTTTAAATGGGCTTAAATAAGACCCAAACGATTTGAATTTCAAATTTTCAATGAAGCATTAAATTTCGGTGAATGTATTCGAAGATAAAATGCTTAAAAATGTAAGTCTGATGAGGAAAACGATTGGTAATTAAAATTAACATTGAAAGCAAGACAAAATCAGCTCACCTCAGTATGGAAAAGTCGTTGGATTGCAGCAAAAAATGAAACCGTCATTTGGATTGTCGGGCAGGCTGAGTGGACATGCGACATGCTGACAGGTGGATAGCAGTGGCGGACGGCGACTCTCAAAAATATTGTTATAGGAGAGAAACACATAGATGCCATTGCCCTGAGTGTCACGCACCACCTTATAGATCCACTTGGGCACCGGCAGCTTGGAGTCGGCTAAGCAAGCGCAGCGCTCATTGCCATTTTCGTCCTGCAGCCTAAGGATGTCGATGCCGCCAGTTCGAATACGAAATGGCTGCTGGGGAGTCACTTGATTGCGCAGCCAACGCTCAATTTCATGCCAATTGCCGTCGTTGATGCTCTTGAACTGCGGCACCACATTGATGTAGCGAAATGTGCTGACCATTTGATCAGCAAATAGAAAGTCCGCTGAAGCCACCAAATGGCCGCGATTGATCACCAGATCGTTGGAGCGGGGCAAGTACCTTTGATTTTTGCCAAAAACAGCTTGAAATTCATCGTAGATCCGATGCTTCATATAGGCAGCTGCCTCAGCGGGCTCCACTATCTGATCCGTATTGAAGTGCACCAAAGGTCGTTTGGCAACTAGTAATTAAGAAATCACATAAAACAGGGCTCTAGTACGGCGTGCCCAACTTGGGCATACTTTAACCATGCTACGCTACACATACATACACACACACATGAGCACACGCTCCACTTACGAGACAGCGGAAGGACATACGTATGAACATGGCCACCTTTAGGTTGCTGATATATCTATAACACTCATCAGTGGAGTATATAATCTACATACTCTATATACTCCCTACATACTCTATAAATTATTATAGAGTATAAGATACTCAACACCTAATGAACGACCATAGAGTCTAGTCTAGAAACGACTTACAGTAGCTCTTGTAGTAGAGATCGCTTTGCGAGTACAGAACACGTCCATTGGGCCTATCATAGCAGGTGCGAAAGAGCTCCAGCTGTTGTCCCTTCATCATATAGCCGACTATGTACAGCGTTTCAGGGCAGTCAGAACCGCGTTTCTGCATTACCCTTGGCTGCATTGGCTCGTCGCAGCTCATGGGTAACGGCTCTGTGAAGTGGCCATTATCCTGGCATTGGGTCTCCACCACATCCCTCTCTGTGCAGACCATATAAAGCGTCCTTCCTTGCGGCACTCGCTCTGTGCGCAAGAGCTCAACGGCTCCTCCGGCATTACGATAAGTGAATATGCGATTCGTATTCTCCACCATGTTCTGGGTTATTTGGCAATCAGCCTGAATGCCTGTTTGAATCATTTAGGAACATATTTAAATATATATATCATCTATATATCCATGACCTACCCATTACATGCATCAATATTATCAATATTCCTACTAAGTATATCATGTCTAAAACCTTGTTCACATCTAAAAGCAATTTTCATTTTTTTTATCAAAACACTAAAAATTTCAATTACAACTACTTCCTAGGCTATAAAAGGCTCGCCTTCTTTTAAATCCCTTTTTTGCGTAACTGCTAAAAATACCGTTTGCTTTGTTAGTATTTTATACTTATATATATTATTTGTTAGCTTCTTGATTTAAAATACAATTTCGCCTACTGGAATACTCACTATTCAGAAGACATATATTTCAGCCAAAAATTTATTAATTTTTATTAATTATTATCAAACACATAATTTTTTTTAATTAAACTTTTCAATTTACAGTTTTATTATATATATAATTGTTAAATATGTTTTTTATACTTTCTGAAATAGTTTGAAAATTCATAACAAATTCTACCAATATATTCTTTTTAAAAACTTTTTATAAATTTATTATAATTACATGTTCTATTAAAATGTTACATATTTTCAAAATGTTCTTATTAATTTTATAATTTAACTTTGTCCAATCACTTTTTTCTTAATTTATATATTCTTAAATTTTTATTCAACTTTTTTTTTACACACTTATATTTTTGTATTTAATTTTTTATAAAATATTGAAAATGTATTTAATAATTTTTTTTAAACTCTAATTGTAATTTTTTTGTGTTGCTGTACGAATTTTTAATGAAAAAAACATTAGTAATATGTTTAAAAATGAAGCATATTTTGGTAATTAAATTAACATTTAAAAAGGGCAAAATCAACTCACTTCAGTATCTGAAATTCGTTGGATTGCAACAAAAAATGAAACCGTCATTTGGATTGTTTTCCAAAATTAAAGGACATTCGACAGGCTGACAGGTGGATGGCGGTGGCGGACGGCGACTCTCAAAAATATTGTTATAGGAGAGAAACACATAGATGCCATTACCCTGTGTGTCAAACACCGACTTATAGATCCACTTGGGCACGTTCAGCGTGGAGTCGTATAAGGATACGCGTTTTAAATTGCCATTTTGGTCCCGCAGACTGAGGTCATCGATGGCGCCCGTACGAATACGATATGGTTTCTGGGCGTTCACGCGACTTCGCACCCAATTCTCGATTCTCTTCCAATTGCCGTCGTTGATGCTCTTGAACTGCGGCACCACATTGATGTAGCGAAATGTGCTGACCATTTGATCAGCAAAAAGAAAGTCCGCTGAAGCCACTAAATGACCACGATTGATGACCACATTTAGGGGGTTGGGCACATACGTTTGAGTATTGCCAAAGATACGTTTGAATTTAGCGTAGATTTTACCCTTTTTATAGGCAGCCGCCTGGGCGGGCGTAATTATCTGATCCATTTCGAAATCCACCATCTGTCGCATGGGAACTAATAGTTAAGAAGAAAACTAAATTACAGTTGAGTGTAGCAGACTGCGTAATACGCGTTCACGACTCAAAAAAAAGGTTATAAGAAACTTGTTAGAAAGTTTTAGAGGTAGCTAAAGATCTAATGCGTAACTATGGGATCATATCAACTAGCCAATTGTGTATATAGATGTTGTAGATGCCACAGATAAGACACATCAATCCAAATTACATTCATACGGACGAATACCGTATACTCTATATATTCTAATATACTTTATAAGTTATAGATCACTCTTATAGACTCTTTATACAGTCTTGTCATACCGTAATCGAGTATTTAAATTCTAAAATAATCTAGAAAACGACTTACTGTAGCTCTTGTAGTGGACATCACTCTGGGAGTACAGAGCACGTCCATTGGGCCTATCATAGCAGGTGCGAAAGAGCTCCAGCTGTTGTCCCTGCATCATATAGCCCACTATGTACAGTGTTTTGGTGCAGTGAGAATCGCGTCCCTGCATTACGCTAGGCTTCATTGGCTCGTCGCAGCTCATGGGTAATGGCTCCGTGAACCGTCCATTATCCTGGCATTGGGTCTCCACCACATCCCTCTCTGTGCAGACCATATAAAGCTTCATTCCATGCGGCACTCGCTCTGTGCGCAGGAGCGCAACAGCTCCTCTGGCATTACGATAAGTGAATATGCGTTTCGTATTCTCCACCATGTTCTTGGTTATTTGGCAATCGGCTTGAACGCCTGTTGCGGCAATTTATATGCATATACATATAGTATCTATATATAATATATATATCAATTCCTTACCCATCACATAAAAAAACAGTGTTAATATTTGTGCAAAGTACTTCATGTCTAGAATCTATATGAAATTTTCTCCCTATTCTAAAGTGTGTGTTTCTGCGATCACATTAGCCGAACAACTTATTGAAGAACCATGTCGAACAAAGCTATTTAACGCTTGCTCTGCTTGGATCGATGAGTAATACTAATATATTTATATATGTATATATATATTTATCCAAACATGTAATCTATATTTGCATAATTTTTTTATAAGAATTGACCCTATATATATGTCGAACAAATCTATTTAAATCTTGCTTTACTTGGAACGATGAGTAATGCGCTTTTCCCGCTGCTCTATGTAGATATATATATATATATATATATATATATATAGTGCACCAAGTGTAGCTTCACATGACTTCGACAATCTCGGCAGAACGCTCAGCTTCCCTTGGCAATTGCTCGATTCAACCTACAAGTGAGAGACCCGAGCAAGTATGAAGTTGACCAAGCTAAAAAAATCGTTTACAATATCAACGAATATTGGTTGTTAAATTATATATCTTTCATAGTATATATCTTACTTAGTAACAGTTATAGTTTTAAGAACTCTGATTTTGTATCATAACCAAGGTTGGCTTTCATTTCGAAAGAAACGTTTTGCATAGTTTTCTAATATTTCAGAATTTTAAAATGAATTTCAAATCACTTAAATTAGATTTTACTTAAAACTAAAATATTTGAAATTCTCTAAATAAGAATCAGTGGTAAATAATTGATCCTATATTCAGATTGATCCGACCATTATTGTGCTCAAATTTTACATTCACATACAACATTAAAAATGTCTTAAAATTTTGTTTTTGTTTTTGACAGTCCACTCTTGGATAACACTTTATTGCTTTTATCACATACAATGGATAAGATTTGTTAAAACAATAGATGTTGTTTGGTTGTTAGCTGATTTCAATTATCCGACATTTGTTGTTCAATGTTCGATGTTGTGGTACTGTACTTTCAATTAATTATATAGGTGTGTCTGTGTGTAATAATTTGTTGATTTTTATATTAATTTTTTTTTAATTTTTGTTATTTTTTTATTATTTTTTTTGTGATTTTTTATTTCTTTTCTACTTCAACTGTTTCATATTTATGTATATATATCTCTTTGCTGTATGTGGTATATGGTGAATACATATATATATAAATGTTACGTAAAGAATAAAATAATAAAGCTTACAACATAAAACATGCAGCGTAAGAAAATAAAATTTTGATAACGAAATCAAATGCATATTTAAAATGATTTTTTTGGTTTTGAATTAAATCGAAACGCAAAGAAATGAATGAAAGGGTAAGAACAAAAACTCTTAAAGAAAATGTGGCTACTTGTTCAAAATTGCTGCGCGAAATCTCATACAAATTGAAACTTATATAGAAATAAGAACATATATATATATGTATATATATGTTCATGTGTGTATGTGTGAAAAATAAGTGTAATACACATGTATCATTTATAACATTTGATATAGTTTGATTTAAATGCTAAAAAACTATACTTTTCTTTTTCGTGGGTTATCTGTTTGTACCAGGCAAATAATAGCAATTCTACAACTAGTTTTAGCTTCGATAGACAATTACAATGTCTTTTAATTGTTATCCTGCTTATTGATCAGCTTCAATATAACTTTGCCACCCTGGACATCCAGGGCATAGAGACTGCCGTCCTTTACCTCATTGTTGAGCACCTCATCGCTGACGCTCACGTGTATGCCCGACGGCCCCGATATGTAGACGCAGCTCTTGTTCACCTCATTAAATATGTTCGAACCGCTGCCGGAATATTTCGAGTGCATGCCCCAATTATTGTATAGAGCGGCAGCAGCTGCTGCTGCAGCAGCGACATTGCCGCCGCCATTCTCCAAAAGACCAGCCGAGCCGCCCTTAGCGACGAACTCATAGAATCCTGGTAGCTTATAGATCTTCTGCTGCAACTCCTTGGCAGTATTAGAGAGTAAGTAGATGGCATTGTAGCTACAGCCATCCATGCTGGCATAGAGCGTCAGACGTGGCGCAATGGTTCTGAAAGAGTTTAAACAAAGTTTAGTAAAAGTTTAGAGTTCTTAAAACGAGAATAGCTGATAATTTTTTTGATTTGTATATTGGATTAATCTAGAAGTAGAGTAGAGCGTGGGGCTATTGAAGGGCTACTAATTCCAGCTCGTCATCAGTCTAAGTACTTGCCACAAAAAGCTCTTCTCTTAACACACCTCTATCAGATTAATCGAATGTACACCAAAACTGATTTTCAGCTAAAATAATTGAATTTTGTAAACCAGACATACTTGGCGCGTAATATATTAAACATGCGTATGCCATCGGCGAGGCCACAGATTTGTATTAGATCCTCTTTGGACATGCTAAATATAGAAAGAGAGAGCAAGAATATGTTAGGGAATAAGCTTGTATAATATATAGCCAGAAAAGCTCATTCGCTCGCTCACCGCATAATATCCGCGCCCGAGAAATGGGCAAAGGTGTTGAGGTAGGCCGTCAGACGATGATGTGTCAGCCATTGTGTGACTTGTGCGGGCGTTGATTCGGGCATTATGTTCTGATTCTATATAAAAGATATCAAATTCAATTAGACTACTTGTCAAGTATATAGCGTACGTATGTACAGAGTGTGTATAGCATACATAATCATCCATATCCGCTGGCACATGCTGCGGCGACACCATATTTGTGGCATCCATTAGTTTCAATGTTGGCGAATTTGTGGATGTCACCGAATTGATAGCAATTGGGCTGCTGCTGGCCGCCGGTGATGCGCTGCTAGCAAATGGCAACATTCCATCATATTTTGGTATATGCACCGGCGAATTTGGCCACAATTTCATACTGTAAACAGAACGAAGAAATTAAAAGAAATGGTAACATTAATATATTGAATAAGTTTCACATTTAAATGATAAATACAAATGCAATGCTGTTGTTGTGCGCTTTGATAGAGACAGGCGTGATCCTTCAGATACAAGCGCATGTTCACGAATGCCAGACAACAGATACACAGATTTTACAGATACATAAACTTATCATGGCCATATACCAGTTCTCTCTCTTTCGCCTCTCTCGCACGCTGTCTTTCTGCCTCTCTATTAGTACAGTTTATGCTCTGCGGCATTCTTAGCCTGTTTTATTACTTTTTATTATATATTCCATGTCTATATAGATATATATATGTATATTGCTTAACTACCTTGACATCGGATATGCTTTGTTGTGGCTGATTAAACCCCATCAAATTCTGCTTAGTCAACCATAAGTTTTAAACATTTTATGACCTTCAGCTTTTTAGCTATGCCGAATTTGGCAGATGCTGCAAAAAAAATACTTTCGGTTAACCAATTCAATTAGCAGCTGAACCCAACAACATTTTCACCATACGGATGAATATTTTTTCGAATCTTTTGCTTTTAACTTATAAACATTTAGACAGACATTCTAAAGAGTCTCAACCACGCGCAAATGGAGCGTAAGGGCCTATAATTAATTGAAAGACAAATTTCTAAAGTAAACAGAAGCAATAAAAGACTAAAATATACCCTATAATATATATAAATATATTTTAGCATTAAAAACAAATATTTAATATATTTAAATATCAATAGGAAATCAAAAAATTTTTAATATATGTTTAAATATTTAGAAAAAAAACCAAAACAAAATTTTAAAAATGTATAATACATGAAAAAATATTTAGTATATGTTTAAATATTTATAACATATTCAAATACAAATTTAATTAATTTTTTTATTATAATTTCTATCGCAAGTCTATTATTTTTATTCTTTAGTAATTCTCAAAGTTTAAGGTTAAAAAGCCATTTATATTAAAAAATGATATATTAATATATAATTAAATAAAACATTGCTAAACTAAATCGGCCAGCTTATGCACCACTCATTTCTAGACATCTACAGGGTATTACAACCGGTCGAAAGCTATATATAATTTCTATAACAACAAATACTTGTAATTTTTATTAATAATCCATGCAAAAACAAGACCGGTTCGGTAAAATGTAAGTAGAGATTATTCATTACAGAGAATTCGTAAACACGCCATAAAAATGCTCTTAGTAATACTCTTAGTTCAGAGAGAGAGAGAGAATGAGAGCGAGGGAGTAGCAGGCTGAGAGTGTTGCAAAAAAAAAAACACAATAAAAACCGGTTTCCGGTTGAAATAAATTCACATTTCTAAATCATCAAAAATGCGTATTTAAAAAACAAACAAGAAAACGAAATGAAAAAATTTGGTAATTTTGATTTAAGTACAAAATGTTTAAAGAAAAGTGCCATAAAATTTGTTGAGTGCTCATTGAACTTTGTAAACAAATTTTTTGTATATGAATCTAATCAAAAGTTGTAGACATATACACACATATGTCTATATGTGTGTAGGAGTCTGATATATATGCATGGCATCAATTGAACTTGGACTGCTTTATGCAAATGAAGCTTCAATCTTAACAGCGCAAAAGCTGAGCAACTTAGTATTTAACTGTAAACTAGTTATTCATATTACAAAGCGTCATAAATCACAAGCTTATGACGTCTAGAGCTCCATAAATAATACTAAGATTTATGTTTTCATATAATATGTGCTCTATAATAGACGTTATACATAACACGGAAATAGAGCAAATAGATAATATGGGACAAAGCGAATGCCAATTGATAGTGCCAGCTGGATTTGGACTGATTGAACTGAAGAACAACAAAATAATTGTATTTAATTAAGCCAAAGCTAAGCTGTTCGATCAATTGAACGTGTACTGCAATAGCTTAGATATATTATAAACTGAACTAAATAAAAAATATATATATTTTTTAATTTACATATAAATTACAAATATTTAAAATATATACATATATTTATATTTAAAAAAATGTTTATAAAAAAATATACGAATTGAAGTAAAAACATATAATATATGAAAAATTAAATTAAATTCAATACCATAAAAATACGATTGTTGGACTTTTCTGGGCGTCTACTTTTTACATACTATTTATTTCTAGAGCAAAACAATTTATTTAGTTTTTATTTATAATAATTCTATATATTTTAATTATTTAAAATGGAATTACAAATTGAATTCCCAACTAAAATTAGATAAGAATCTACAGCAATTGTTTTTGTTTCTGTTTTTAAGGTAATGAGAAGTTCATTAAAATTCTCGAAAAAACGTGCCATAGAATAATTAAAATTCGATTTACATAGACAGAAATCGCCGTTCGAAAAGCAACGAATATATTTCAAATGATATATGATTTAAAAAAAAAAACAATAACATTTTCCTATATATATTTTAAAATATATATCTATATATTTACATCTATAAATATACATTTAATTATATATTAAATATAATAAGAATATCACGTCTATTTTTTCTTATTACATTATCAGAAATATCTGAATTTGTTTGTCTAAAAATATATAAAATCTTAATAGTCTCTATATGCTATAAAACTATAATATATTAATAATCAAAATATATTAATTTTCATTTCATTTATTTGCCTTATATATAAATAAATTTTTTAAAAAAATCTAAAGCCTCTTCCAAATTAAAACACATCAAAAAAAAAATATAAACAAACTCCATGACTCTGGAATTCTATTACATAAAAAAGGATTTTATGCACTTACTATTCGGGACTGTAGCAGCCAGTTGTGGTGGCTGGCGTTATCAAATCCAAAGATATATCATTCATAATGGTGCACTCGTAGCTGGGCTGAAACTTATCCTGCTCTGACTGCGGGCGCTTTTGGATCTTTTCGCGATCCTGTTTATGCTTGCGATCGGCGCCCTTTAGCTTGAAGACCTGCAATTGATTGTTTAATATAGTTACAGTAGTTATTGCTAACAAATGGACAACTCACCTTTATCTGACAGGCAGCTGCATGCACCGCCTGTTTGCCATTGAGTGTTGCCAGGCCGGCGATGTTGCCGCTGTTTGCATTCCGATTATCCGTCTGCCCCGCCGATGTAACGCCTGCGCCGTTGCTGTTGTTGTTGTTGCTAGTTGTATTGCCAGTGCTGTTGTTGCTACTGGAGCTGCTGCTGCTGGAGCTGCTATTGCTGCTGCTGCTCGAGCTGCTGTTGTTGTTGATGTTGTTACAATTAGCCGCTGTTGTGTTTTCTATATAGGTTTCAATTTGTAGTCGAAATGGTACACCCTTTTCACCACCGTGCTTCTTTGGTGTAAATTCGGTTGAAATGCAATTAACCTTGATGTAAACACCGACTTCCTTCAATGGATCCCAAAAGATTTCGACAGTATTCAATGCATTCGCGCTCAGTGGCTGCGACACATGGCACAGGCCATACGACAATGGTACGTCTACCTCAATAATTCGATCACCTGGACGCGATGCCTGCCATTGCTGCATCTGTTCGCGTTCCATGAACTGCAAACGACGCTCGTGGAAACAGATTTTGATAACGCTCTGCAAAAAAAAAACGCCCAAAATGTACAAAGTTCAAGTTAAAGAAAAAAAGTAAAGATGGATTTAAAGATGCTCAAAATTGGTCTGATTGCCACATGAGACATTGCCTCTGCGCATGACTTGCCTCAAGTTGTTTTGCGTATAAATTAAGTTTAATTGGGGCATATTAAAATCAATTAACATGCAAACACACACACGCACGCATACACTCACACACAAACGCACATACAGCCACACATTAATATTGAGGCACATAACTGCGCTCAGACTCGACAATCATATATTGTCAACGAGCACAGTTGATATAGTCTTAATAGAAACAACCATAACAATAACTCAGTCAATTTAAACTAATTTTTCCCAGTTTTTTTCTTTTTTGCAAATTAGTTTGAACTCAACGCACAAAAAGCGAGCAGAAAAGATAGAGAGAGGGAGAAAGAGAGAGAGAGAGAGAGAGAGCAGCATAAAGCTGACATTTAAATCGTGACTCTGATTTATATATCCAAGTAGTTCGCTTTAAAGAATTTCATCCTTGACTTTTCACTCACCTTCAAAATCTTATCGCGATAGAAAGATAAATCGCCAATTTTCTTCAATTTGATCTCATAGCTTTGACCCTGATTCAGATAGGTCAATGTCTCCTCATTGTTCTTCGTTGCAATAGAGGTGGCCGCTGCCAAAATGTACTGAAATCTGCAAAAAAAAATAAATTGAATTTTATTCATATTTATTTAAATTTAATATTATATTTAAATTTTTTATATTATTTATTTCATATTTTTTATTTAATATTTTATTTTTATTTTTTTATATAATTAATAAACCAAATTTATATATAATGATATTACTATTATATAGTTAGTTAAACAACTTTACTATAATTAAGTTTTTATTATTTCTTAATTGCAAAAAAAGTTAAAATAATACTTCGAGAGATCTTTTCATCCGATTTCCATTGTCTCCAGTTAATAATACCCGTTTTACACAACGTCTATAGACTAAATATACAAATGATATTACGTATCTCTGTCTATACTAAGTAAAATGTAGATGATATTTATTTTTGAATTAGAAAGTTGCTGTTTGAGACAAATATAGAGTTTATATAGAAGTGACGTTGAGCTATACTATATATATACTATATGTACTGTATCATATGATCTTAAGTTTGAAGAGATTTTCCACACTGCACACAGATATTAAAATCTATGAAAAGTGCTAAAATAAAAGTAGTCAATGTTTTGATGATAAGCTTATTTATATAAGTTATCATATCAAGACGTGGATGGCAATTTCATCTTCTATATTATGGAATTTTTCACTTACTTATGATCCTCTGCATGAGATGCACCGCCAGACGAGCTGGGCTCAATTTTGGCCGCCTCGACAACGCTCAGCTGCTGCTGCAGTCCAGAGCGCGCTGCAATTTATCAATTGTTGCAATTATGTAAATATTTATGGTGCGACAACTACTTACGCGCCTGTGCATAGGCCTCATTGCCAGATGCAGTTCGGGTTTTCTCAGCCGACGATGCTTCGTTTCCATTGGCATTGCAATTCAATTCAAAGTCCGCTGCGGCGGGCGAGCCTTGCGGCGAGCCACAGCCACAGATGTTGCCGGGGTTCAACTCATGCTTGCCACCAGCCGCTGCAACTGCACCGCCTCCACCTGCTGATGATGATGATGAGGCTGCTGCCGCTGCTGCTACCTCCTGACCCGTGCGCTGTGGTGAATGATTTGCCTCGCCTAATGGCGACTTATCGCTTTTGCCAATTGCGGAGCTGTTGCTGCCGCTCTCCAAGGATATCTTTCCGTTCGGTTTGAGCTGCTCCGTTTGCGGCTCCTGTTTAAGTGCCGTCAGGCTCGGGGAGAACGATAAAAAGTTTTCACTGCAAACAAAATTCAACCAATTTTCATTTACATTTTAGTCACAATACCAAAAACCAACAACAACTGAATGTTGTTTCCTACATATTTATGTTATCTATGTATACATTTTTGTATCTGCACACTCACTTGTTCAAATATGAGTTGCTATTAAACTCGGCGTTCAGATCAAAACCAATATCGTCGCTCCAGCTACTGCGACCTGCGAAATGCAAATAGAAAGCGAGAAAACAGTTTTTTTTTATCGATTTTGTTTTCAATCTAGAAGAGTCTATAGATAGACATATTTTATTTATAGAGAATTTGTTTTTAAACGCTGATAAAATAAAAATACAATTTTTGCTATAATTCGTCTTATAGCTTAAAATAAATAAAAATACTCTAGGAATGCCCGACTAGGAGATACCCGGAACCCCGCCCGCTCTGTGTTCTTATCCTTATTTCAAATATATATATAAAAAAATAAATTATATGAAATAAACATGAAACTAAATTAAAAACTTAGAGACTATACAAATAGATTAAAAATTATTGATTTTTTGTTACAAACTGTGGGCTTAGTCTTTAGCTCTTCTAAGATCGTACCTATGGACAGACAGACAAACATGACTATAATCGACTCAGCTGTTCGACCTGATAATCAATATATTTTGGGACGCTGCCACGCCTACTTCTGCCTGTTACACTTAACAAAAACAAAAAAACAACAGAATTTATATCATTTGATTTTTTAAAATTCATCATGTTGATTGTTTTAATCTTAGTCATAAACATAATTTTTTTATAATCCATTTCAACAGTATTTTTAGCTTCTTTAACTTTTTTATTTTTAAAGATAATTTTTTTTATTTTGACCCATTTCTAATCTCTCTCTTTCTCTCTCTCTCTCTCTGTCGTTTTCTATTTTCCTTTTCATTTCTTATATTATATATCGCTCATTTTACTACTCTTTATCTAAACATTCACATAATTATCTCTCTATTTTTCTGCTTGTTTGTCTCTCTTTATATATATAGTTACATTTACATCTACCTTATCTTCCATATTATCTTAATTATTTCTATCTCCCTCTCTTTCTCTCAATCTATTTATCAGTCTATCTACTTTTCTATCGCTCTATCTCTAGGCACATTTCAACGCTTACAGCATATTTCCTAATTAAAACAATTGTAAAGAATGAGTGAGGAATGCGAATTGAACTTTTTTTCTTCGACAAATTTAAGCCCAACTTTTTTATAATTTTCGTGCATGTAGAAGTTGTTTTTAGATCATTTATGTTTACTTTCAATTTAAATTAGTTCCATAAGTTTAAATTAGACTCAACTCAACATGCAGAGCTGAGTGGCACACATAATGATTAATAGTTATTTCCACGAGTTTGCTTTCTGAAGATATTGCCTATCTGAGTTGATTATTGTTGACAAATACTGCAGCTAACGCAACGTAACTGAAGGGTATGTTGTGCTCAGACTAAGCATATATAACTTCAAAAAGAAACTTGTAACTTGATCTAATAAAAATACAATTATATAGGGTATATATAGTATATATATTATTGACACCTAGCTCATAATGTAAACAGTCATAGTCACTAGTCAAAGAAATATATATGTGTATATACATATAAATGGATTAAACAAATATAAAGCTCACTATAGACCTAAAAGATTTTGTAACTTTTTTAGCATTTAAAAATTATACAGGGTATTTTAAATTTAAATGAATTTAACAATTTAAAACTTTCGCTGTTCACACGGCATGATAATTTGTCAATAATAAAAGAGGAAATTGCTTAACTATAATTGCCCCAATGTCAAGCGAATATAATAAAATTTCAAGAGCTCGCATTGATCGAGTACCAAATAATAGAATTTAAGGCTAGGTCGGAGGACAAAAAACAATTGAAAACAAAAACCATTAAGCCACGAGCGTTATATAAACTGAATGCTACAAATACATGAATATATATATATATATATATATACAGTAAAAGCTATATGCCTGCTATAGACTTAATTATTATTTGCTGTTAATTAAGTTTTTCTATTCTCTAGACTAATTGCTTTTTCTTCAAAAAAAAAAACTTAGGGAAAATGTGGCAGAAAAAATTTTCTAAAATCCAAATTGCTTTAATTACGGCCTCTACAAAGCGTCGACAATTTTTTTTTTGTGTGCGGCCTTATCTGCTGGACAATTGTCGTGTTGATTTCACATTTCTTGATAAGCCATCACGAGTACCGCGCGATAGGCAGCCGTTCTAGCTCGATTTTGTAAAACAGCGAAAGAGTTAAAATTATAGGTCTCTCACTATATATATATATATATATATATATATATATATATATATTTGTATCAGCATTGTTGTAGTTGTGCTGTAATTAGGCCAATGACAATTGTTGCTCGACTTGGCGTGATTTTGGCAAATTGTAAGTTCTTAACTACCATTCGAATTCCAGAAATTTATATATGTATATATATATATATATATATATATATATATATATATATATATATATATATTATGTATGCATTGTTTACATTTTACAAGAATTCATACAGTACTGTTCATTATGTATTTTTTATCCTTTTTAATAGCCACTACTATTTTAGTGAACGACAAAATTTTGTTCATTTTCTTTATGAATCCCGGAAGTGCACGTGTTCCTAAGTTTGTAACTAAAAGACATTTAAATTAATAAAAACGGGTTAATCTTAATATGCATTTCCAATTTATTTTAAACTCTTGTATTTATCTCCAGCATTTAATGCTCGCACTACTATTTTTATGAACACTATACTATACATTTATATATATAGTAAAACTTATTTTATTTTATTTATTTTATTTTTTACTGTCTATCCAAGAGGTGGGCGTGTTTTTATTGCTGTTTTGGTTATTTTCCAGAGCTGTACTTGTTAATGTTAAATATAACTTCCATAAAAAGCCATAAAATTATATACTTTATTAGTTCATTAGCTCAACTTGAAGCTATTCTTAAAGTTTTCATCAGTTCAACATCATGTCTTGCACATATGTGTTAAGTTAATTAAAGGTCGTATAATAAGCAGCAAGAGCAACAGCAAAAATATATTTTTAAAGGAAACCTATCATCTTTAGCTTTAAATATGTGCAAGAATCTATAAAGTTTTTTGTTAATGTTAATTTAAAATTTACCGTTTTGAAAATCAAGCAAAATACATAAAGTTGTTCAGCTAGAAACTATTGTAGAGCGTTTCTGCATGGAATATTGCACACTCTAATCAAGTTTATCTAGATAGTACTTTTTATATAGTGTATAGTTTATGGTATATTTATGACATTGCAGCTTAAGGACTTTTATTTGAAATAAAAAATTTGTGGAAAAATCAAATCACATATTATTTTTAAGTTATATTTGTTCATATTTTTAAAATATATTTAAATTGTTAATTTAATTATTTTTGTATTTTTTTATATTCTTATTTTTAAACATTCTAGAATAAATTCCCTAATTTGATTTGGCTTCTTTTATTTTGGAGTTTCCAAATATTTCAATTAATTTTTTATATGTTTCATAGACTGTTACCAATTGGCTGCAAACAAACTAAATGAAGTTTTAAATGTTAGCTCACGATGTGGACAATAAAAATCAATTTTACGACACAGACACACAGAACGCTAAGAACGCATCTAGCTATTGATTAATTAGCAAATATAACGTTTTTTTTTTTTGTTTATAAAACAATTAACACATTTGCCTTGGGCACCAAAGGTAGCTACAAGTGCATGGCACATTGAAATAAGATCGCCTAAGCCATTGGCTCTATAGAGAATAGAGTTATATACGCAGAGCTCGATTCTTCTGGTATCTTTGATATTATCGATTCGTTTAACTTAGGCGCATGTTGCGCAGACGGCACATGCAAAGCAAACAGGTTTATTCAATAGTTGTTAATTTTTTTTTTTTTTGTGAAGAATGCGACAAAAAGCGTAGAGTCTCGATATACTAAGAAAACTATCAAATTGGTCTCATATTTTAGGCGCAACATATCGGATGCTTCGAAGGCCTTGTCGAGGCACTTCGAAATATGTTCGAATGTATTGCTAACGGAATTAACAGTTACTCTTAGCTCATATCATAGCTATATATAAAGACAATGAGACAGGCAGAATTTGTAATTGTAAGAACAATCATAAGTGAAGTTATTTTAAAATGTTAGTTCCAATAGTTTAGTGTTTTGTAAACCGAAATGCGCAACTCTACATTAAGTAAGGTCTTTCTATGCTTCTCACCTGAATGCTTTTCACGTTTATGTTTATCTTTCTCGTGATGTGCCACCTTATTGGGTATTTCGCCTGATTGAGTTGTCGGCGAATTTTCACTTTGACCGATGTCCAATGAGTACCAATCCATTCGTCTTTTGCGCGAACCACTGTCTGAGTAAATTGTCCTCACGTCGATAATTTGCGGTCCTGGTGAATCCTTGGACTGTCCGTCTGCAGTAATACCGAAACCGAAACGAATCGAAACGTGTCGATTAGCCAATTAACGAATGCACAAATAGCATTGCTTTTGATGGATGCGATGATGTGTCTCATATTTATCGGCATTAATGATGTTTGTATATATGCATGGCTCTCTCTATATATATATATATATCGATTGGATCCGTTATAAACTGTCTTACCTGTCCAAGATTCCTCAGAATTCGGTGGTGAATCAACAAAGCTAATCACTGGCTCATAATCCGATCCAATATGCTGATGATGATAGCCACTAATGAAATGACTATTTTGGATCTACGAAGAATAGAAAGAAAAATTGATTAGTTAGCGAAAGAATTCCATTTGCCATAGCTATATATAGAACTATCACATCTAGGAAAAGTTTTCCAGCACACTCTGTCTACGAATTAGCTTTTAGTTTACGAAATTGTCTAGCATGTTGTTCAATTAGACAGATCTATCGAGGCATTGCCACAACCACAACCAATGCATTATCTCTCAATTCTACCTAACATGCTATAGGGGTCCTAAACCTTGCTGATAATAAAAACAAAAATGCTCTACTACTGAAGAGAGTCGTCGCACTCAGCCTCTCTCACTCTCTTTCTCTCTGTGTACAAACACTGTGCATCAAATTGTTTTTTAAGAGACTGTAAATCGTAAAGTTAAAATTTTCTATACACGATCGATTGCAATTGACTTATATATATATATATAGCATATACATGCGTCGAGCACTTTGAGATTTCATTTGTTTACGCCCGGCAGACTGTGTCTGCGTGGAATTTATTGGATTTCGTTTTATTGTGTTCTCAAAAGATAAGCGGATAGTGTCAATAATAACAGCCACAAGGCACGACCTGTGCAGCGTGTTTCGTTGACTCAAAACTCAATAAGCAAATATGAAATACGAGCGCGTCTAGATATTTTTAGGGCATCTTCTTCCTCTCTTTATCTTTATATAGATTTTCAACTGTTTTTATTGACTGACTGATTGACTGACTCATTGCTTGAATGCAGAAATTGGCAGCTGGCTATCTTTTCTTATTTATCATATAACGTCTCATTTTCGCATATCTAAATATATTAAAAATTGTTTGTATTGATTGACTGCTGCGACAGCCAAACATGTCTGTAATCAATCAATCAATTCTGTGATTGAGCGATTGGTTTCATAGCTTCGCTTAAGTTAATTCAATTTAATTATAAATATACTGACTTCTCTAACTATATATATACTTACTCTCTATCCAAATATATATGTTAAGCATATTTGATTGACAGATTGAGCGATTGATTGTTTGATCGATCAATTGATCGATCATTGATTGCAAAAGGGAGTGGATAACTGGATTATACCCTAAACACAGGCATAAGATTCTATTTTCAGTTAGATTTGACTTCATTCTTAAACGTACTTCGTATTAACACATTCTTTTTATTCCAGAATCTGAATGGCAATCTAGTTCCTCCCCCTTCTTGCTTGTACATAAGATATAGATGGGCGGCTATCTTAAATATCTGGCAAATTGACTTAGTTACGTAACAGTCGCATCGAATGTTGATGTAAGCATTTGCTTGTCTACCTGTCTGTGCCAGTCAATTTGTTATGTGATACGATTTCAATTCTTATTTGATGTATTTACACATGCTCAAACACTCAGCGCATTTGTATATAAATAAATTCCAATTAAGAGTGACACAAATTAAATAAATACATATATTTATATATAGATACTAAAATATCTAATCAAAGACAACTTTTGGCATGTTTTATGAAGTATCATTTCCAGTTTATACTAATTGCCAATAAATATTTAATATGTCTATGTAAGGTAATATTTTATTTATAAAGCTAAGAAGTAGAGCAAAGTTTACTCCATAAAATGTGCTTTAAGTTTATAATTTGACAAAGACTTTCCACTTATATTTGAAAATATATAAAACTAATAATAAATAAATAAACTATGATATATGCTTAGATAGAGAATTTATTATAATAAATACGTCAAATATTTCTAATCTGAAATCTTATCATTTCTTAACAGTCGATATCTATGTCGTTCTTTGCTTTTTATTGTATTAAAAAATATTTATTTATTGATTATATATCTTTATATATATATATATTATTTAGGAAATGATAAGAATTTGTATTAAAAATATAAGAGGTATTTTTAATATTTTTTTTATAATAATATAAATAGATAAGAAATGCAGACACCTTTATCTTCTTTAAACAACTTTATCGCTGCTTAAAAAGATTATGAAATTTTCTTTAAATATATAAAAACATTTCTATACAATTATATTAAGTTTATTACATATTATTGAGTTATTTATATGCTATTCAAAACTCTTCAAATATTTTTTAAACTTACCTGATTAAGATTTTCTCCGTTAGTTTGGTGCGTATGAATGTTGTTGTTGTTGTTGGTATTGTGGTTATTATTATTATTATTATTATTGATGCTAGTATTATTATTATTATTATTATTGATAGTATTACTGTTATTATTACTGTTATTATTATTATTCTGATACTGATTATGATGATTTCGACTCAAGTTGTTGTTGTTGTTGAATTCCATTTGGTCGAAATCGTTGAAAATGCTTAGATCAAATTTCGTTGAAGTGCGTTGTTGTTGTTGTTGTTCTGATGGTAAATGAATTTGCAATTGCTGCTGCTGCTGCTGTTGTTGTTGTTGTATTGAATATTGAGGATCAAATATGCTTTGTAAATCCAACAGGCCGGAACTTTGCGATAGAAACGAAAGCGCCATCCGGTTTAAAAATATATGCAATTTCCTTTCTCTAATTCTTCCTTGCTCACAAAAGATTTTTTTAATATATATTTAACAAAACTTGAATTACAGATCAACGACTATTCTATGTGTCTATTGTTAAATTTTTGTTTATTTTTCTTTTCGACGAATATTGTCCACAATAACCGTTAGTACGCACTTTACTTAAGAAACACGGTGTTTTCTAGGGTAGCACCCTCGTCAAGTTTTCGCGTGCAATTTTGTCAAGCTTTTGCAGGCCACTTATAAATTTAGTTTAAATATATTTATAAGAGTTTTTGGTTTTTGTTGTAAGCAACAAATAATAGGAAGTAGATGGAAATTGGTAAAGGGTTATAAAAATAGTTTTTTTTAATATATATTTATATTTATGTCAACATTTTATATTTTTTATTAAATTTTAATCATACGAAGAAGAAAAAAATGACACTACTTTTTAGATTTTATTTATTTTGTTTTGATTTGTTTTTTTTTTTTTTTGTTTTCTTAGCACAGCACTTGGATTTTGTATACAACTAACAACCAAATAATATCTAGTTTTTTTTTTACTTTTTTTTTTTAATTGTTTTAACAACTTTGTTTTGTAACTTTGAATTGATAAAAAAATAAAATTCGTTGTGCGTTCTTCGGACGTTGGAGAGAACGTTTTGATGAAATTAAAAGAGTACGAAAAACGAATTGTATAGTTTCTTGATCCCGGTGGTCTCACGCTGACGATGGCTACGTAGTAGGGTGTTTTCAATTTTTAACAGCATTTTGTTACGCAAATACATATAGCTCGATTGCGATTGATATTCATTAGACATGCGTTGCAGTCGTATTTCAGATTTCTCCATTTATCGTTAAGTTCTTTGACGTCGGGTTGAAAAATTTGGGTGGGATTGCACAAAATGTAGCTATCGCTTCTTGTTACTTTCCTCGATCGTTCCTTTCGCTCAGCGCTTAGGGAACTTTTGAACTTATCTTGGCTTTTTCTGGCTTAATTAAGCTAGTTTTGTATTGCTGTTGGTTTTTGTTTTTGGTTTTTTAAACCGCTGTCAGATTGATGCGAACATTCTAACGAGCTTGTGTCTTAAAACCTTTGCGTGAAATTAACTGTTAATTGCGAGAGGCTGTCTGTATCGCTCTCTTTTGCTTTCTGTTGCTGTTTTTTATCTTAACGTGAGCTTTGTGTGTGTAGCACGCTGTCAGATATTTGACATTCTAATTATGCGGCGACCAAATGGTTTGGCACTTGTACGACTTCGACTTTTTGTTTTGTGGATGATTTGACCAATAAAAATATTGGCTTTTCTTCGATTATGTAAGACGCTTTGTTGTTTGTTATTGCAGTTGAGACACTGTCACAAGGCGCACATTATAACAGTTAATTGGAGAATAAAGCAAACGAGTTCTTTATAAAATTGCCAATCAAATTTTGCATTTGATTTGTCGATTTTTACGCGACGTTTGACAACACTGTTGCACACTTTTTTATAGGAAAACACGCACAAATAATTTTCTATATATTTTATATATATATATCAGATGTATTTTTTAGCTTTTGCTTAGACACTGTGAGACACAACTATTCCAGGCGCGTTACAAATTTATTCTGTTTAGCCGCTGAGTGTGAAAATCGCTGCAAAGCTTTGCTAATATTTTTTTTCGCTTTTTTCTTTGCTGGTGCCGCTGCTTCAAGTTTAATCGCCGCTCACATAGACGAGAGAGTAACAGCTGCTGTCGTTGTATGCGTGTTATTTATACCAGGCTGTTTGAATGTATGCGTGTGTGTTGTTGGTAGACCGATTTGGTGGTATTGGTGCTGATAAAGTTTTTGAAAGCCTTCTTCAGGTTTGTATTCGCGCATGTATGTGTTATATATTGTTATATGGCTATGCATAAACTGTAATATATATTTGCTTGTATTAAGTTTTTTGATTAGAGCCTTTTTTTAGGTTTTACACACGCAGTGTATATATATTTTTTATAAACTGGTTTTCGAACTGCAGCGCTAATTATTTAAATTTGCATAATATATTTGTTTAATCGAGTATAGTATGTGTTTGTTTAATCGATCGATATTTTTTTGTTTGCGCGCGATTTTTAAATTTCAACGATTTTTGTTTTTTTTTTTTCTTTGAGGTTCATTAACTGTGCTCTATATATTTCGATTGCTGCCAATTCGTTAAAATTTGTGGTAAAATATAAATAAATATATTTTTTTGATTTGCCGGTTTAGTTTTGGCTATAGGAGCACTTTTAATCCGACGAAGCGAGGCTTCGAAAAGCCCAAAGAGACGAGCATTTTGTGTGGCCAGAACCTTGGTCGAGCGGCAACCAACACGGACACGAGGTTAAAATATCAATGAGTTGTGAGTATATTCGCCGATAGCGGGAAACTACAGATACCGTTTCAATTACAGTTCCCGAATTCAATGCAAGCCTCAACGCAAAACCGAGCGCCGAGCCGACGACTGCGATGATCAGCAGAGAAAAAATCGAGACAAAAAAATGGACACGGGACGGCGAGAGATTGCGACTACGACTGCGGCGAGAACTGCTACTGCTGCTGCTGATTGTTGATCAAGTTGATTGTCACTTGTTGTGTATGGGATGATGCTGCGACTGCGCTGCTGCTGCTTTACCAATTGAATACAATGTTCGCGCGCTGCGTTTCCTTTGATTTATGTTGTTGTTGTTGCTGTTGCTGTTGTGGCTGCTGCTGCACTGCTCAGCTGTTTTGCACGTTTTCTTATCTGCTCTTATTTTGGTTTACAGCTGCACTCTTTTGTTTTTTTGATTTCTTTGTACTTCTTTGCTTTTTATCAAATGCTTTATTTCACTTGCACCCACATCTGCGATGGCAATAATGAAAGCACTATAGTTATCTCTTTCGCACACACGTGCTGCGCACTTGACTCTAACTAAATCGGCTGCTGCTGCTGCTGCTACGTTTCACTGTGAATGCCGTAGCAAACACAATAACAAATTAATTATTTCAAATAGAGCGAAATTTTCCTCGATTTATGTTGATTACGCGCGTTGTACTTGCAATTGAATTCAATTCAATAGGCTTTTATGTATTTGCTTGTATGTTCTATTGACGTATGTATGTTTTTATGACTGTGTGTGAGCTGCCCACTCAGAAGCTTTCAATGGCTGCCGTTTACTATTGTTGTTCTTGTTGTTGTCGTTCGCACTTTTGCTGCGCGCGTCGATGACGTATTTTGGTACGCACACGTAATAAAATTGGCAAAGGAAAACTGGGAGAGCCTTCGAAAAAAGCTCAAACACGGTGTTTTAGGCTGCGGCGGCGTCGTCGCTACGCGCGCTAATTAAATTTCTTTGTCTTTTTGATAAACAAAAAGCCGACGTGTAATTGTTGCTACTGCTGCTGGGTATTGGTTGTTGTTATTATCGAAGTTGTTATTGCTTATTAATCTTGTTTTGATGTTTTGGTTACTGAGACTCGCACAAAACTAGTGTTTTAGCCGATGGGAGCAAACGTACTGATTTTGGTGAGCGCACGTCACACGCTAATATAAATTTTAGCTTGGGCTTTGCGGTTACCAGCTGACTGACGTTTGCAGCTCTCTCTCTCTTTCGTGTTCGCTGTCATAAGAGCATGAGGAACGTTGCTCTTTGCCCACGCATAAACAGACTTGCACACACACTTATGCATATGCAAATGCCTGTGGAATGCACATAGAAAAGCAAATTCGTTATCGCCACGCACACGAAAGAAGAGGAAGACAATATCGGCTCTCCAGCTATACAAATTAAAACAGTTTTTTTTTTTTGATTGGCTGGCTGAATTGCAGTAGTTGTCAGCGAGTTACAGCAACAACGCATAATATCAACAATACACTTCTAAAATTGAGAGAAATTGCGTTTAAGAGTAATAACTAAAAGAGCGGCGCACGCTACACCTGTCTCTGAGTTCTTTGTTTGGGCGGGAGCATTGACGTTATTCTCAACAGCAACAAATTTGTTATTTATATGTGAAAATGCATATGGATAAATGGGGAGAGGGTGTGTATCCAAATGTTTCACAAGCTTTTTTGACTGGCCTAAATATGGCGGCGATCAGACGTTAAGTTAGCTTAAGATTAACGGTTTATATTCAAATTGAAACATTTTTTAATAAAATTTGCAGAACACAAAAACTGTTTGCCTTCTCCACTTTTTTGATGTCTTCAGTTAATTTGCAATAATTATTACTTAGCTATGACATTTTTGTGGGTTTGGGTTTTTTTCTGGTTTCATTCATAAACTGCGTCAACTTGTGTTAATTAAAAGTTTAATTGACAAAGGCAATTTTGAAAAGTCGCCGAAATTGCCCGTCTGGTTTCTGAAACATGTTGCTCAATCAATACATACAAATATGTATGTGTATTTATCGCAAAAAAAAGAACAAAATTATAAAGCTGTGGGTTTTTACTTTTGATGCTTTCCTTGCACATTTCATCAATTGATGGCAATGAGCGAAGCCGAATTAAATATTCTTCAATTGTTTTTAAATTGCCATCAATAGCAAGGTCTCAAGTGAAATTAATTTATTTGCACAATGAAAGTCAAAGACGCAATTCGTTGTAATAAAAATGTTCTGCTCGATTATCATCTATAGATATTGATCAGAAAACAGTTCCTTTCATGTCATAAAAAATATTTAGACGACTTTGGTCTTAATTAATTTGCCATGTACAATTTTTAGTGGCTTCAATTAACGGCTGTCAGAAAAAAGCTTGTTGCTAATTTATAATAATTAGCACAATTTATCTTTTGTTTCATTTTGTGACCATTCATAATTTTTACTGTGACAATTAAATAAACAAATTAGGCAATGTTAAATGGAAAACGTGTAGCGTTAGATTATAGTATGAAAAATGTTGAAATATTAGTTTGATGTATACTACAAATAATATATTAATTGTTAAGCAAACTAACTCTCTAATTAACTAAAGCTGCGTGAGGACTGTTTAAATTTTTCGAATCGGGCGCGCCAATTGCTGCTTCCAACTACGAATTTTACAACACTGCTGGTATTTGGAATACGATAAGCAGCAAATGTATCGATAAGTGTCTATGCAAATATCGAACAGTAAAACAAAAAGAACGCGTCTCCGAAAAAGCGCTGAAACTAAATAATAGAATGGAACTATCGCCCATTAATCAAATTGAGGACAGAAAACCAACATTAACTGCCGACGGTTTGGTGCAAACGTCAAATTCACCATTTGAGCAAACATCAACAACTACAACAACGACAGCAGCAGTAACTGCGGTGACAGCAGCATCAGCAGCAGCAACAACAACAACGACAACCGTTTCACAGGAGACGCAAACATCGAACGGCATCGGAATCGGCATCGGCGGACCGCTGACAGTTGATCAGCTGGATATCGAAATATTGCCAATCATTTACGATATTGTGCGCTGGTATGTGTGCAAGTGTAATAATATTTATATAAAATGCAGCGCCAACTGTGCAGCCAACCATATTAACATACAGTCAAAATTCAACTTATATAATCAAAAATTCATTGTTCTTGGCTTGCAGCGTGGAAAAAGATCCCTTGGAGAACGCTGTGAAGCTGCGCGAATCGCAGGACTGCAATCATAAGGTGGGCTAACGAATACCCTGTTATTTATTTTATATATATGTGCATGAATCAAATCTTTGCAGATCTTTGAGCTGCAAAAGCGCTTCGATTCAGCGCGTGAGCAAATAAAGCAGCTGCCGGGCATCGATTACAACAAGGAGGAGCAACTGCAGCGTTTGGAACTGTTGCGCAGTCAACTAAAGCTCAAGCAGCAGCTCATACGCAAGTACAAGGATAACGAATTCTAGAAAAGCATTCTCACCATGGTTCTGCGGCTGCTGATGCGCTACTTCGCCAACAATGAGCAGCTTATTCAGCGTATGGCGGACAGCTATCCGATGCGTCGAGCTGCCCAGCTGGTTGTCTCGCTGATGTATCGCTCGAAGAGCTTGGCCAGAGAACAGGGTCTGCACGAGATGACGCCCGAGCGTTTTAAGTGAGTGCCTAATACAGAGTCGTGCCAAGTCTTTTACTTAAATATATTGCTCTCTTCAGATCGTTTGTGAACATGTTTAAAAATAATATAAAACAGGAACTGGAGGGCGTCAAGCAGGAGCTGAAGGATAAGAAAAAATAAATCAATTATTGTACATTTCTAAAAATAGGCTAAAACAAATCAGGATATAAACTAAATTTCAAGAGTAAGCGGAATGGTCTTTGTTTATGATAAATGCTGTAATGATACCGCATTGCAGCGATGCGTCAGTAATCAACACTAAATCGGCAGAGTTGCCATCTTACCTGACAAAGCAATTAAGCCAGTGTAATTCCAGCAGAAGTCTTTGGTCAACTTTTAAAATCTTCAAATTTATTATATAATTTATAATACAAAAACCAAAAAAAAAAATTATCAAGAGAACTTCAATCAATTCTTCTCAAAGTATTTAGAAACTATATTGAAATTTATAATTCATTAATTATAAATCTAGCAACTAAATTGAATTTGGCAAACTTTTGTCTTTAGATTGGACGAAAACAAATTAGACATTTATTAATTAGCAAAATTTACACACAAATTGTCACACAGCATACAAAGACGTCTTACCGCGTGCTACCTGTAGCAAAATAGTTATTCTCTTCTTTCTCTCTCTTGCACACTTCATCCTCTATCCTCTCTATGTTTATTAGTTTCTCTCATTAGAATTAACGGCCGCATGTCTCACATTTAGCACAACCGTCAAAATACGAGCTTAACAACTACCGAATTTTGTGTACAAAAAAACACTTTAAAACAGTTTGTGGATTAAGATATATGGAGTTTTAGTTTTGCGTGGTCTCTGGCACGGGGTCGAGGGAGCTGGTGCCACCGTTAACAGGTGGCACGGCGGAACTGTTTGGGGGCGGGCGATTGTTACGTTTCCGCTTGCCGCCTCGACGACTGCCTTCCCGCCTTTCGCCGTTCTGTTTGTTGTCCTCGCCATTATCTTTGCTGCAGCCCGCACCCGAGGAGCAGGAGGTTGAGCCCTGTCCGTTGTGGCGCTGCTGATTGTTGCTGCTATTGCTTCCGTTGTGTGCCCTCGACTGCATCTTGGCAGGCTTGGGTCGATATGGTGAAGCAGTTGCCTGTGGCATGGGTTGCAGGATATTGCCAACTGCCTTGGTGCGTCCCTCGCGGAAAACCAAACGCTGGCCGGCACGTATGTACTCTGGCTGCTTAATGAACCGGAACTTGACCCTCGCCTTGTCGCCGGTGCGCAGGCAATCGCAGGACATGCGCACAATCGACGCCGTTTGTCGTATGCTACCACAGTGTACCATCGCCTGATAGCGAGCGGAGATCGTTGTTGGATGATGCAGCACAAGTATTTCGCCTTCGAATTCCCAGCAGGCTTGCGGCTTTAGCTCCGGTGATACCATGACCATGCCCTTGCGCAAATAGGTGCGTTTGATCTTCTTAAGCGCAAAGCTTGCCGTCTGCCCACACCTGACACGCTCCACGTTCATGCGTTTGCGATGGATGCTCTTGATCGTAATGGGCACAAAGGTGCCGACGGCATTCGGTCCAAGCATTAGGTTATCATTTAGCTTAATGGTGCCCTGCAGGCAGGTGCCGGAGACAACGGTGCCAACACCTGGCACCGAGTACACATCATCGATCTGGAACTCAGCTGGCAGATTCTCAGAGCCAGCCATGCGTGTGCTCAAGAGATTAAGAAACATTTTGAGCAACTCTAGATTATCGCCGTTCACATTGGACACCTGGAAGATGGGACAGAGGCGTTCGCTAACGAAATTTGTTGCACTCAGCACCACATCGTCCTGGCTGCGCACCACAACGGGCACCTTGCGACATCCTTGCGATTTGAGCATCTTGAAGAGCAATTTCATATTATCCTGCAGCACATTTGGTGGGCACATATCGATCTTGGTGACCACCACAAAGACAGGAACAGCCAGAGCCAAGGCGAGACCTAGATGCTCCTTGGTCATGCCAATGATGCCCGCATTAGCGCCGATCTGTGGATCATAACATTTGGTTAGATATATATAGCTATATACATTTATATATATTAAGGATTTTTCAATCACCATCAGCATGCCGAAGTCGGGCGCATGACCTGTCATGCCAAATACTGTGGTCTTCAGGTATCTCTCGTGTCCCGCCAGATCAATGAACGTGATCACCTTCGACGACTTTTCGCAAATCTTCACCCAATCCAAATGACCATGATCCGGTTTATTCACAACATTACCAACACCATCAAAACCAAGAATATCGTTGCCAACAGAGCTAGTGCGTCCGCTTTCAATCTCATGCTTATGTCGGAATAGACGCTGTCGGGCATGGCCACGCCCATTATCCAGCTCTCCATGCGTTAGAACGCCCAACAAAGTGGATTTGCCGGCATCCACATTGCCTACAACAGCCACGCTAAAAGAGAGAAGCAGTTGGCATTGGAATCACTGCTGCAGTACCTCTAAAGCTAGGGTCTTACCGTATCTCCATAAAGTCCGTCGTATCGATATGCTTGCGTATGAGTAACTGTGCCGTTTTACCCTTCTCCACATTCCGTTCGCGCAGCACTACGAGATCTGCATCTATAGCCGAGGCTAATCTGCGTAGAGTCCTCATCGAAGCCTCAAACTGCTCCACATTCAGCCCGCTATCACGGCCATCTATAAAAGGATTTAATTAGAGCTATATGGGATATTGAAAACAAAATTGTAAATAAAAGTCCCATCTCAACTTCGCAACTGCTAGGCTTTCTTATTCTCTCGCACTTCCAATAAGATTGGGAGTGAGAGCCTTAAGCCATAAATGCGATCGAGCGAGATGACTGCACTCTCTTTCCACAGCTTACTCAACATTTATATTTGCATTTATTTAAAATTATTAATTTTCTATTGCATTTCTCTACTTTTGGAGTTTGTTCCACTTTATATAATAATAATTACTTACCCTCGCCTACGCCAATTTCGTAGATGGTCTCGCCGCAGCTATCGGAGATGCGATCGAGTAGACGCCGCTTAAGTAACTCCAGTTGCTCCTCATTGGGCTCCACGAGCACATCCTTGCCCCGTATGCTGGAGTAGTCGATGCTTAGCTGTTGCAGCTGCTGTGTGGGTAGGCCGTCCACGGTGAAGATGTTGCTACGTGCGCTCTTTATGCCCACGCCCACATTTATGGGCAGCGCTGGTGCGTTTTGTATATTGTTCATAATTTGGTGTCTATCTAAGCTGGGTGTGCTCTATATCCTTGGAATCATTGCCTGACTGTATGTGTGTGTGTGTGGGTGTGTGTACATACAAGTTATTTCTGCAAGCAAAATTAACATACATTTAATTTAGTAAATGTTTACCACAAAGCTGTTAATAGTAATTTATTTTCATCCTGACCTATCCCACGCCCATTTGCCTTGCTGATTTCGATGTGCGTCGCGCTTGCATTTCACTTGTGTAATGAGAGGACCACTATTAGAAGCTCTGCTTTTATACAAAATGCTGATGAAACTCATTCCCTGAGTGACGAAATGCACGCATAGACTGCGTCCATTAGAGAGAGGGAGAGATGGAGAGGAAGGTTGCATTTTGGTGAGAAAAAGAAGTGCAACTGCATGTTGCTGCGAAAATCTCTCCAAAGAAGAACTCGCATAAACATTATTGCATCAGATGGGAGAGTGAGAGAACGAGTTGAATAGCATGCATTTTCATTCGCATGCGAAATAACCGTTACAACAATTGGTACGAAGAGAGTGTTGTACAGAACGCATATAAAAATTGATAGGAAAACGGTTAATGAAAATGACCGAGAGTGCCAGTCAAATAAGAAATAGCTGAGTTATGAGAGGAGCACTCTAAGAAACTTTGTTTTTATACCAAATGCTGCTGACGAAACTTGCTCACTGAATGACGCAATGCGAGCATAGATTGTGTCCATTAGAGTGGATCTTTTTAGTTGAGTGTGAGGGAGAGATGGAGAGGAAGTTTGCGTTTCGATGCAACGACATGTTGCTGCGAAAATATCACCAAAGAATTTTCATTCGTACTCAAAAGACCCGTTACATCAATAGGTATGAACAGAGTGTTGCAAAGAATGAATATAAAATTTCAAGGAAAACGGCAACAGTTGCGGAGAATGAGCGAGTTTCAGTCAAATACGAAATAGCCGTTATTGAAATCACTGCAGACAGAGCGACGACGACATTGGCAGAGAACAAGCAGCTAAGCAGCAGCAATAGCAACAGCAGCAGCTGGGGACAGTTGACAAACAGCTGTTCTCGCATGAAGATGACTAGCCAGTGGAGCCAGAGGCATGTATGCGTGTATTTGTGTATGTTTGGCAAAGCATAAGACGTTGTTTGTTTTGTTTCTTTTGTTTTTTTTTTAGTTCTTTTTCGCGGCGTTTATGTAAGCCATTTTTGTTGACGTACACAAAAAAAGCTCAAACATTGTTGTTGCACTTTTGTTTGCCGTTTTTTTTGTGCTCCTAAACAAAAATGCGAAAACAATTTATTTATAGCGCCCACTCGTACGAATATATGTATGTAAATGTATTTAGATGAACGCAAGTATATTATGACAGAGTCAAAACATCAATTTATTCTTGCGCCTTTTCTTTTGTTGTGCTTTTTAGTATTTGTTTTGTGCCATTGAATAACAAACTGTAGATCAGCTGAGTGGAAAGATAGATGCATTTTGCATGCACTTGGAAATCCACTAGGTGGGCTCATCCAAATTGCAATTAAAAAGTGAAAGGGTTGATTTTTTTTGTTGATTCCACAAACTCCTGTTGCGGGCTTTTGCTTCTGAATGAACCCCCGCCAAGTTTTTTCTTAATGCTTTTACAGTTACTTACAGTTCATGCAGCGCTTTGTTTTATTTGCTGTTTTGTTTGTACTTTGAACTATTCACATTGAATTTGGATAACAGTGCACTAATATTACATTAAACAGTACATAATTAGTACAATGACTACGAATTGTTTTTCGTCTGTCCTAGCCACGTACAATTTTGTAGCGTTGCCAGCGCGCCAAAATGCATAGTGGCAACGTTGCTCGAGACATATCGATTGCAAATATATTTTCATTGACTATCGTTATCTAAACAGGCCGCAAATTTTTAACTTTATAAAAGGGGAAGTGGTGAAGATTAAAAAAGACCACAGAAAGTTTATGAGATTAACATAAATTAGCGTTCATATTTTTTCATATTTCATATTTCATATTTCATAGTTCATATTTTTAACTTTATAAAAGGGGAAGTGGTGAAGATTAAAAAAGACCACAGAAAGCTTATGAGATTAACATAAATTAGCGTTCATATTTTTCCTCACTTAATAATAGTTCATTTGTGATTAACTTAACATTGACTATTTTTATTGCGGTTTTCTTATATAGCTTGACACAATTTGATAAGTAAGGTTTCATTGCTAGAAGCTTCGGAATTATTTTAAACATTGTGTATTTTGTAATTAAATGAACGTGTTCGTGATTCAAAGCGAATTTATATGAGAACACAAACAAAATATGCCCACACACTTTCACGCACACTCACATACAATAAACACACACACTCGAACACAGAGACATAAAGTTGATTGCATGTATGTATGTGTGCCAATATAGTTTTCACCTTTGCCTTTTTTGCTCACTTTATAATGTTGTTATATATATATTTTCCTGATAAGTTGCAATCATTTGACATTATACTTGACGTTTCCATTAGTATATTTAGTATAGACGTAATTGTCATTTAACTTAACCGATTTCACAGTTAAAAGTTCTTTAAACTTCCCAACAGCTGTGCACAGAGCCAAATGCCAAAAATTTCAATGTCAACAAGTTTTTTCTTGTCTGCCGCGTGCTAATGCTGCTGCTTCTTCTCGCTGCCGGCCAAGCCATTCGCACCTTCTCACTCTCCAGCACAAAAGGCGTTGCTAGGCATAATGTTTAGGCACAGACACACATGTATACAAACAAACATTGATGTAAATATGCGTGCGCGTGTGTGTGTGTGCGTACCCCCGGCATAGCATGAGTTATGCAAGCCAGAAATAAATGTCTTACAACATGAATGAGTTTTATTTTTTACAGTTCTTTTTTAATATATATGTATATGTATGATAGTCTAAAAAAATAGTTTACAAATTATAAATGTTTTTAACAATTTTGGTACAATTTTCGTGGTGTTGCATCATTCGTATGTGATTTAATCCAAAAAACGTTATATATGAATGGATGTATATGGAAGTGTGTCTGTTTGAGTGTTTATGTATGTGTGTATGTATATGTATTTCAAAGTTTGGACCGGGCGGGCGACAGCAGTCAGCTGCAGAAGTTGTCTGGCTTTGTTCTTTAAATACACATCATATGTAATGCTCAGTTATTTAGGGGTGGGTGGGGAAAACATAATGCTAATGCTAAAAATATATTTAACACGCTTTCTTATTCGGTTGCTGCTCCCGCGCACACAACTGGCAATGACTTTTTTCTGGAGTGTTTTTGTCGTCTTCGTCCATCACTTTGCATATGCATTCATTCACAATATAAGTATGTATATATTTGGAGAAACTGTAAAACTATGATTTTGTTGTATATATATATATACATATATATATATATATATATATAGACAAATATATGTAATGTTATGTATTTGTAACTTGTGGGAGGCAAACCAGGGGACTACGGTATATTGATGGTGTCAGTGGAAACGGGCTTGTTTTTTTTGTGTAGTGGAAACGTGCTTTAATCGCTTTGCAAATACATTTTTGTAGTACATTTATTTTTTGTTGTTGCTTTCGCTCAATTGCTTCGGCGCGCTTCCAACTATAACTAATTTATTTAGTTGTTTTTATGTTTTTGTTTTTGTTTAAGTTTTGAAAATACCCTTAATATATTAATATAATTATTATATTTTATGTGTTCTGTTCTCAGCGCTCACTTGGGATGCCTTTATTTTGTATAGTAATTTGTTTTGTTTGTGTTTGTGTGTGTGTGTGTGTAGCATGACCCCCATTTGAAAAGAAGTAGTTGTATATGTCGTCCACTTGCTTCTACTTCTGTTCGTATGTATGTGTGTTTTTCTTTTTAATGCGTTTGTTTGCGTGTGTGTGTGTGTATTGGGGTTTGGTTGTGGTTTAGGCAGATGCCGCAACTTCACCAGATTTCTTGGCCTCAGCACTGGCACCAGCAATAGCCACCTCCTCAAAGTTCTCAACCAGATCGGGCACATCGTCGTCGCCAGCATCCGCAGATGCGCCACCGCCGACAGCAACACCACCAGCAGCATTGCTCTTACTGGCAATCTCCGATGCGATCTTCTTCAGTTGATTGATATCCTGGGGACCCAATTGTGTCAGGATGCCGGGCAGCATTTCGGAGATCGTCTTGTTCTCGCCATGTCCGGTAATGGCGAACGTGTTCGTTGGTAGCGATGCCTGCGCCTTCGGGTTGTTGAAGTGGATGACGGTGCCATCGTTTTTGATAATGTTGACTTCCTCAATGCCGGGTATGGTATTGACCGACAGCTTTTTCAACGATGATTGCAACTTCTTGTCATCGGTAGCCGGGGTCGAGTGAACAATCTTCTTCTTGCGACGTGGGGTACCCTTGCCGCCAATGCGCACCTGCGCCTGCAGTTTCTTAAGCTTCTCTGGATTCATTCCTGTAAGACACACAGGCAGCGCGCACACACAATTGCCAAAAATTACACAAAGTTTAGTTTTGGAAAATTTTTCAGGTCTTTATGTATTGAAATATGTTATTTAATTTACTTTGATTTTACTATAATTTAGCACAGAGCTTAGCCCGAAAAACACGTGCGCCCAGTTGTAGTCAAATGTCAAAAAGAAATCGCCATGATAAAAATGGCAAAGCAGTATGTATAAGTGTGTAGTACTGTTAACAAACACTAAACTCGGTGTTTGATATCGATGAAAAATGCTTAAATCAATTAGAATGGTTATGCATGAATTCTGTTGTCCTAGAAAATGAAAACAAAATATGATTTAATTTTTGTTAAAAAGAAAACAACTAATTTTTACAATATACGCTAGTTTTTCTCTGTTTTATTTGCCCAGCAGCTATCGATAGGCAACAGCTGATTTTGTGGGTATTAAACACAGCGCGCCTTTTAAGTGTTCGATAGCGCTGCACGGCGGTGGCCTTTTTAAGGGAGACCACGGTGCGTACTGACAAGAGTTAAGATTAGTAATCGCCTTTTTAATAGATAAGATAACTTGTATTATAGAGCTGATTTAATTTAACGAACTAACAACGAACGAAACCCTAGCGTGTGTATGCTAAGCTCTGACAGCCTTCACGTGTGTGTAATATAGTGCCGAAACGCCAGTCCGAAAGTCAACAATAGAAATAACTGCAACAAGTGGAAGAGTTTATAAATTAATAATTACAAAAACTATTTACAAAAACACGACAACAACAACAACAAAATAAGAGCCCATCAGGGTTGTGCACGCAATAAGGCTTTAAACGTAAGTCTTGCATGCATTTTGTTTTGTTGTATTTGAATTTTGAAATTATTTACAATCTGCAGTGGAGAGTTGGGATAGTGATTTCGACAGCTTCGACGATTTCGCAATGGATTTTTGGGGAATATTCATGTTTTTCCTGTTAACGTTCCTCATAATGAGCTGTTGCGGCTACTGCTGTACGAGCAAACGTCGAGGCACTGTACTCTCAAGTAAGTGTGCATTGTTTTTCCCCCCTCCCTTATTAATCTTATACTGACATGACTCATGCAGCCAGACACAGGAAGCGAGTCACAGACACACGCACACACACGCACCCATTCATATAGTATATATTTATATATGCATATCATATTCTGACTTCAATATAACTTCTATGATTCATCATATTTCTTTTTGCTAAGCTTTTGCACGTAGCTTTGCAAATCTTTTTCAATAATCTTTTATTGACGTCTTTTTCATTGGGTCTTAAGTAAGTTTGGCTGTCTCTCTTGTCGCACAGCTTTTTTGTTGTTCTTTTGCGCATTTTGCTAGACATGCCCATTCGTAAACAAAACAAAATTCGTGAATTTTGATATGCTTTAAATCAATTATAGTAAGTATATATATAAATAAATAAATAAATATATATATATATATATATTATATATATAGAGTACATATATATATGTGTGTGAATTATCTTCAGTCCAATGACTAATAATTATCTAATTATTGTGTTTTATCTTATCAAAAAAGCTTTAATTTCGCTATCGCCTGACAACGAGCAATGCTTTTTTTTATATATGTTTATAGTTACTCTATATAAAAATAACAATAAATACTTAAACAATAAATTGAGTAAAATCCAATATACTCCAAGTTCGTTATAGCATCCTGATTGGTCTATGTGATTGATCCTGATTGAAATCTAGACTTTCTTTTGTTCAATATATGGGATATATAGAATTACTTGCTTATCACTTTTATTTATATTTTTTATATATATCATAAACAATTTATTCGATATATAAAATAAATACAGATCAAAAGTTTTTTTTAAAATAAATAAAAATAAAAAATAAACATTAAAAATTCTAAATCTAAATTTTTTTCATTTATCTATATTTATAACTATTTCTTAAGTCATCAGAGCTTAGTTTGAAATTATTTTTAAATAATGACTAACTTTTAAATGGAAATCAATATAGTTCAGAGCGAAATATATATAGCAAAATATTGGTATATATATATATATAAAATTTCCCACATTATCTGACATACAAGATATCAGATAATCCCATGTGAAAAGTATATTTAAGGTATAATAATTTGCTAATTCTTAGAGCTCAATTTGCATAATAAACTTGATCTGGTCTAAATATACTAAACTCAGTTGTTAAGGGGATTGGGTTAGTGTATTGTGTGTATATATGCATTATGTATGTTAATATATATAATTTTATTAACTCAACTTTCACATCTAAAAATCAATACACATTGAAGAAATTCAGAAAAGTTTGTATAAAATAAATTTTATAAATAATAATTTTGGGATAGAGAAATTTTTTAATGTTTTTACTGGATTAATATATTTTTATATACATTTATATATTGGCTGGATATCTATATTATATTATATATATATCTACCTCTAAAGAAATTCTATGTCTGGGTTTATTCTTGAAAAACGTTGAAAATTGTAAATAAAAAAAAATAGGGTATTTCTAAAATTATATATACGTATGAAAATCTTCTGCACTGATAGATAAAACATTTATTTTTACCAACAAATACATATATTTTTTTTGGCTATTGTTTGACAGTAGATAAATTGAAAATTGAATAGCTAGTTTAAGTTGGAGGCAAAGTCTTATGTGAAACATTATTCAGTACACGTTGAACTTTCAAACTCAATTGTTTAGAATTGTTAGCTTAGAACACCTGCGTTTCTTGTGTGCTCGTCGCCAACATGGCTGATACATACTGTGAAGTTTGGATACCAATTGTGGTCATATTCTGCGTTTTAATGATCATTACCATAGTGCGTATAATACGAACGCGGCGCAATAATCCGCCATCAATTACCGTGATACCTGGCGGTAAGCGAATGGCTAAAAAATGTGCTCGAAATCTTATCGGCTAACTTATTAAATTATTTCTGTGTTCCCCTTTTCGACTGGCATAAATAATTTTTGTCGTTTCTATTGGTTCTTCAATTGTTAATTTTATCGCTCAGATTTGGCGAATTAAAATTGCTTTAATTTTGACATAGATTCTTTAACTGATGTCGGCTCGTTTCTTGACCAATCAATTTGTCGTTGTCTAACAACAAATTATTGCTGTTTACTCATAAAACAACTTGAAAGTGTTATCTATTGTTCGAGTATGCTGATAATCAGTCGCTAAGGTTCTACTACTTCAACTGTTTCAATTTGTATTATAAAAGTTTCTATAAATTCGAACAAAAATTACTGAGCTTTTCAGTTTAATTGAATGAAAGAATTCAGTTTTCGAAAGGTTGTTTTATAGGCAGTTTGATGATATGGTATAGTAGAGATATATATATGTTTTAAGGCAAAGTTTACTTTCTTCTATATATGTTTATTATTATTTTATTATATATGTTTATTATTATTTCTAGAAAAAAAACTATTTAAGTACTCTATTTAAATTGAAAATCTTGAACATCTCAGACAACAAATTTGAATCTGAAATAGAATTTTGATTGGTTTCTTTAGGATCTCATATATAATCAACAATTTATATAGAAACTCAGCTTGCTTGTATTAATAAGTATTTTAAGCTAACACAAACTGAAGCTGCACGAGGTCCGTTCAAAAAGTAACGAGAATTCTCTTTTATTTTTTCTAAAATAATTTACTTTTCATGAATATCTAAGCTGTTCCTTTCAATGACATCCCCATCAGATATTATACACTTGTGTCTGTATATTCTCCAATCCGCAAAGCACTTAAGCAGCTGTCAAAACTTTAAAAATATTCAAAATTTTCGAACTTCGTAAAACGAAAATCGAATCTGTGGAAATCAATATTTGCGATACTTTTCGAGCTGTCCTCGTATATCGCTTAAAACATTTAACACTTTCACAACACACTCATCTCAGGCTACACTTGCTGCTGACATATTTTCTAGATATATCCAATATTTATGATATTCCCCATTTTTCTGAATTTAAGTCAAATAATCTTGAAATGAATCGTATAAATATTTTACAATTATCGCTTGACATTTATTTGACTTTAGATGTCTTCTTTGGGTATTTCCCACTTTTTACTCGTTTTAAATTTACTTATAATTGAAGATTGATGTACTTATGTTAATCATGTTTGACGTCAGTAGACGTTCCGTGGTAATCCACATAAATTTCGACTATCGCTAGCGATACGAGATGGTCAAGGCCTTACGGGATTCTTTTTGGGTGCATGCAGGTTACTTAAGCAAGTAAACTAAGTTTCGCATAATAATAATCGTCATCATCATAGTCATCATCATCGTCATCATTAGTCGATCCATTGACGCAAAACCCTGTTGTAAATTCTCTCCGTCCACTTTAGTATTTTATAGTCTACTGCGTATTGAATTTCAAAAGGTTCTTTAATCAGTTATTATGCATTATATTCTTCTAAAGGGTAGTCCCATTTTGCTATGGAGTGTGTAAGTGTTTAGGGCAGAAGCTTAAAAGAATCTGTTTTATATCATTTATATGTCAATATAGCTCGAATCGTATTGTGAGAAATCATTTAAAAAATTTCTTTGTTTATTAATAGATTTCGATAAAGTTTGCTAAAGTTATTATTCTTAATATCTTCATATCTTCATATCTTCATATCTTCATATCTTCATATCTCTGCTTTATGAATAATGACTCTAAATTGTTATTTTAGTTTGAAAAACTTTTTTATGAAATTTTAATATTTTTCTTCAGAAGTTTTGCTTAAATTTGATATTTACAAATGTTACACAACTTTTCCATGTATTTATATATAATATATATATATTTTTTATATATATACTCTATTTTGAATAACTATATATATAACTATATTCTTTAGCTTTCATTGTAATAAACTTTATAGGGTATTTAACCTTCGTCTTATCGTGACTCGTTTGTCTTGTTAAACGCTCTCGTTTTTTGTGTTTTTTGGTTTTTAATTTTTATTGTTTATTATATTAAAAGCCGTGACGTCGCAAGCGACGACTTGGTTTGCCATATCTTATCTGATAAACGCGTCTCTTATGGCCGCTACTGCTTCAAGCCAAGTTAGCAAAATAAGCCATAAATACGCACGACGCCATTATTTAGCGCTCAACTCTAAAGAAATGCACAACGCGTAGCCCCAAAAAGTGAACAGAACTCAAACAAGTCAAATGCAAATAATAATAACAATAATAAAATAAAATCTATATAAAACAAAATGGTGCACGAACCGAGCGATTTGGATTTGGAAATCTCCACAATTGTCCTGATCTGTTTATTTGTCGTCGTCCTTGTGCTCATTCTAATCGTTATAGTCAGAAGCATCGTGCACAAGCGAAGAAAACGAAATGGCTATTTAATAGAGAACTTTTAGTGTTTCAAATAATATCTGAACTGTGTAAATTATATATAATATAAGTATAAGCTTAAAAACTTGATCTAATAAATCAGTGTAAACTTTATAAAATGATAAGAAAATTTTGATTTTTATTTAAATATTGAAATTTCTTTTCATGAAGAAAAAGTGTTTTCTGTGTGGAAAAAGTCGAGTCTCAAAATGCTTTAACTGTAATGTAAAAATGTTGTAAACATGGATGCTTCAAATAGTCTCAAAGATCTCTTCATCTCAACATTCCTAAATAACGATTGGATTAAAAATCATCACAGTAGAATGCAAATTGGAATGAGCAAAGCTTAAAGCTACAATATATGCCATGTGTATGATCTAGTTTAGCATGCACTAGATATACATATATCGCTGATATAGCAACAAATAATTTCAATTGATATTTAACAATTTTACAGCCAACAATCGAGCAACGGATGCCGCTTTAATGGCTATGGATGCTACAGCCGATGCGGCATATCTGGCCAATAATAATGACTGTGATAACTCTATTGATTGTGACTGTGGCAGTGATATGGGTGACTGTTGCGTTTAAGCAACGGTTGCATTTAAAGAAGACCTTCTTTTTATTTGCAATATTACTGCAAAATGTTGCTATAAAAAAT